TACCTTATAGATAGTGTGTCCGGAATGTCCTTCCTGAGTACACAGATGGCTGGGTAATAAACTTAGGAATTTTGAGTGGATAAGCACAAATTTGAGAGAACAAAGGAGACAGCTCCAAAATGGAGTCACTCTGGCTCCACAGTCTCAGCAGCCCTGGGGTCCTTAGGTCCTTGTGCAGCCTCGCCAGGCATTATCCACGGTACAATTTTTACTCATCAGATAGGTGTCAAACAACATTTCATTGTTGTGTATTTTCCCCTTCTCTGGTCACTGATGAGTTTGGGCATTTATTCACATGTACGGTAATAGCCTTCTGTACTTTCTTTTCTGTGAAGTAATTGCTCATACTCTGCACGTTTTCCTGCTGAGTTCTTATCTTCTTGCTGACTTGTTGACTTTGCTTTCTCTCATGCACACAATTCTCTTCTTGGTTTCAGGCATTACAGATAACATCTCCTGAACTCTCATTTCTCTATTAATTTTGGTCGTGGTGCCATTAATTTTGATATAATCAAATTGAGTACTGCCCTCATGGTTTGTGCTTTGGTTTTGCTTCAGACATCTCTGAAAGGTCGCCGAAGAAGGGGGCACATGCGGATGTCCAAGCAAGCTTCATTGGGGCGGCAGTCTGCAGCCTGCCGGGCCGACTCACAGAATGGAGACCAGCAACTGCATGGGCTGAGCCGGAAGCTTATATAGGGATCTTGCAGGAGGGAGAGCACTAGTCCACTGGTGGGGGTGGGGGATTGGGGCTGGGGTGTGTAACAGTAGGTTTCGGTCGGGGCGGGGGATGGAGTAACTGCTTTCGGGAAGCCCCTGTCTCACCGGAACATCTGACTCAGAAAGCGGTGGGGCAGAAAGACTTTAACTAGGCCAAGAGTCACTAACAAAGGGAGGTCAGGCCTTAGCTATGCGGAAGTTCCCTGTTCCCTGTGGCCGGAGTGGGGTAAAGGGGAAGGAGAGGACCAGGCCTGCTCTGTGGGGGCTCTGAAATACCTAACAGTCCCCCTACTTCCAAGTCATAAATTTGTATCAAACATCAGCTTCTATTGACTTTATAATTTCACCTTTCACACTGAGCTCTTTAATCCATTTGGGGTCCACCCTTACATGTGGTTCTACGCAGGGACTGGTTTGATTTCTCTCTCATTGTAAGCCAGTCTTCTCAAGACCATCAACAGATTCTGTTTTTTCTCCTACTGATTTAGATACGATGTTTTCTTTTAAAAATTCCTTTATAAATATGGTCCATCCCTCAGCTCTCTCTCTCTTTCGTTTTTGTTCTTGTACCAGTGCTATTTTTTATTACTATGAATTTAAGTGCTTTTTGTCTGGCAGGGTGAGTACTTTCAGGGCTAATCTAGCAAGGAGCTACAAGAAGAGATGTTCCAGAGTCTTTGGTTGGCAATGTCACGTGTCTTAACTTTGGTATACCACAGACCTCTGTAATAATAATAAACTTTATTTTTGCTTTTTTCACAGGTTATCAAAAACCTGAAAACACCTTTTTAAAGAAAATTCAAATTGTTCATTATATTCATAGCTTCAGGGACACAGTGACCCACCCAGGTTATGATTTAGGATTGAGACGGGGAACTGTGGGTTTGCATAGTAAGCCCTTACTTAGGGCTTTTTGCTCTCCATTGGCGACAAGATGTGGTGGGAACAGAAGGTGGTACCAAAACTGAGGCAGTTCTCTTCAGACTGGCGTCCTTTCTTACTGTGGAATAGTAGGAAATGCCAGAAATTGCCGTGTGGGGGAAGGTTGGTCAATGGTGCTAAGTTACAGCTAAATAGGAGTAAGGAGCTCGGGGGTGCTTTCACGGTGGGGTGACTGTAGATAAGAATAATGAATTGTGTGTTTCAAAAAAGCTGGAAGAAGAGATTTTTAATGTTTTTACCCAAAGAAATGATAAGTTTTTGAGGAGCTAAGTATCTTACCCTGATGTGAACATTACACTGTGTGTGTATTCAAACATCACATGGTTCCCCCAAGCATGCACTGTTTTATGTATCAGTTACATCACACAGATATGTAAAGAAGCTTGGCACATGGCTCTTACCTGTGAGGAGAAAAGCACCGGAAGTCAGGCAGAAACAGCTCTGTCGCATCTATTCTTTCTGTATAGCTCGGAAACAACTTGGGAATTTAAAGCAATTACTCATTACTCTTCCGCATCATTACCCATTAAGTAAGCTCTCAAGTTCCTTACCCCAAGCCCAGTGCTTCGAAGGCGCCTGTTTTTAGGCACGATTTCCCACCGCCGCGTTCTGGGACCAGAACCTGCCGTGTTACTTGTGCCCCCAGTAGGTGGCGCCCTCGCCCCAGTCTGAAGAGCAAGTGCGGCTCTCTACGAACGACTCAACCGCGGGAGCCAGAGACTCAGGAAGGACATCGCCGAGCTTCAGCGGCTCCAGGCTCCGGCAGAGAAGCTGCGGGCCCTGCAGGTGCAGATCTCAGCGTCCTGGAGCGGGTGTCGAACGTCCTCAGGGGCGCGCCGCCTGCTCTGTCCCTGGAGCAGAGAGCTGCGGAAGTTCAGCTGAGCAGGCTGAAACCCGGGCGTTGGGCTTGGCTTCCGGTTGGCTGGCAGAGCGACCTGGGGCACGTTAAACCCGCCGACCGTCGTGTGACTTAAAAGCTCAATGAGAACCAAGGCTCCTCTCCGGGGAGCATGGTGAGCGTCAGAGAGAAGTATCTCACCGATTGAAATGGCTGCGCCAAGCACAGGGCTCGGCCTCTGTCCCTGCAGGCAGTGGGAGGGCACTGCTGAGTGACGCGCGCCGCTGTGTCTGGGCTCCGTGGCTCCAGGGGCAGGGAACTACGGACTCAGCACTCGCACTCAGGTGCTCAGAGGCAGTAGAAGGCCAGGAAGGGGTCTCAAGGAGCCTCTTTTCTGTGGTTGCAGATAGACTGTGGGAGCCACAGGCTGGGCTCGGAGCTGCAGAGCCAGCACCAAGCCAAGGGACAGCCAGGTACCCCCTCGGCAGGAGCAAGGGTCTGCGGAGGGGCTGGAACCCTCAGCCCCTCCAAGGCAATGACACAGCTCAGCAACCTGGGGCCGATCTGGAGAGGACGCCAAGGAGCTGGGCGCCAGCACCCTGGAGGTGCACGTCCCAGGCAGCTCCACACCCTGAGGTTCCCACCCACGCCTAGGCAGCCCACCCGCAGCGCCCCTCTCGGAGTTGTGCGGGGAGGTGCTCAGGTGACACGCGGTGACATGTGGCAGTGGCTTGCCTAGGACCACGCCGTGCTGCTGCTGCAGCAGAATGAGGTGCAGGGGAAGGGTGATGCTCCCAGGGAGGCAGCTCAGGGTGGCCTCACAAGTGAGTTGGGGAGGACATTTAGAGCTGACAGAAACCCGAGAGCTAATGGTTCTCACTCTCTGTCTCGCTTTCCTAGAATGCCAGGGGCTTACTGAACAGGTGTGAGTCATCCCTTCTTCGCTCCCATACATGGAGACACCTACAGTGCCCGAGACACATACCACCCACACAATACAGAGCTGCATGTGGGCTTTCCCAGCGTCAAGGGAATCCCCTGCTGCTTTACTTTTGCACCTCAGGCCACATGGCCTGTGGGAACCCCACAGAGCATCTCAGTGTGTATGCATTGTGAAGGATGTCTTTGTTTCTAGGAGTGAAACTGGATGGACTCCTCCACTCTTTCCTCCATCTGGCCGGCCCCCATTAGGCCTGCCTCCTCATTTCCTCAGCCCTCCTCCCTCCTCCCCGAGCCAGGCTCCTGTTTGTGCTCTCCTTGTGAAGGCCAGATCCATGCTCCCCAGGACCCTTTGCGGGGTCTCCGTGTGGCCTGTGAGCCAATGCTAGCACCCACCGCTCTCGTTCTCGTGTTAGAATGGAAGCAGCCAGGAGTGTGTGTGCAGTGCTGCCTCAGCACAAGGGCCTCGCGGGTGAAGGCTCCTCCCAAGTGCCGGTGGCAGTTGTCCGCGCCGCCCAGCTTGCATGGATTCACTGCTGTGGCGGGCAGACTGATGCTGTCGAGATCTTCCCCTCAGGTCCTGCCAGTGTGGCACTCCTGCCCTTCAGCCGTGGGCTCTGAGCTGCTTCTGCTACCTGGCCTGGGGCCCCTGTTTGCTCACAGACTCTCTCTGGAGCCTCTCCTCGCTGCCTGCCGGACAGCTCACCATGGCAGGGCCTCCATGCAGCCTGGAGGAGCAGAGCCGCCTGCATCCTCCAGCCACAGGAGTCAGGGGCCTTGCATCACAGTTGTGAGGAAATGGCATCTGCCCCCAACCTGAGTGGGACTGGAAGCCCATTCCTTCCCAGCTGAGCCCCGGATGACAGCCTGGCCCAGCCGGTGACTGATTACAGCCTTGTGAAAGTAGAAGACCACGGGAAACCGTGCCCCACGATTTTGAAGCTGTGAGACAATGACTGTGGGTTGTTGGAAGGCCATGAACTTGTAATTTTTGTGGAAAAGTTGGTAATAATACAATGTGTATCAGCTATTTGTGGATGTCTCACTTTTTCAGGTGAGCAAGGACAGCCCTCTGAGTTCCCATTGTGTAAGACTGTGCCTGGCCCATAGTTAGTGTTCAGTAAAGCTTTAAAAGGATGCAGGAAAAAATTAATGCAAAGCATAAGGGCCCTACTTGATCCTCCATGTTTTGTTTTGTTTTTTCTTTTGTTTTGGGGGGCGGTTTTTGGTACTGGGGATTGAACTAGGGTCCTTGCACTTGCAAGGCAGAGGCAGAACCACTGAACTAAATCCCTGGCGATCCTTCATGTTTAAAGGGAGCCATTAATTGCCCTTTTTTTTTTTTTTTTTTCAGATAGGGCCTCACTATGCAGTTCAGGCTGGGCTCAAACTCACTATGTAGCCCAGGCTGGTCTCAAACTTGCAGCAATCCTCCTGCCTCCGGCTCCCAAGTGCTGGGATTACCAGCATGCCCCACCACACCCAGCACATTAATTGTGTTTCAGCCATAATTTATGTATTCAGCTTTTGCTGAGACAGTGAGTTCTGTGCTTGGGACTGAGGGAATAAAGAAAATAACGTAGCCACAAAGCGTTGCAGTGTTGTGCTGCAAAAGGGAAATCCAGTGTCAGACTTGAGTTTCAGCCTCAGCCCTGACTCCCAGTAACCTTCGTTACACGGGGGAAGTTCCTTCGCCTCTCTGAACATCAGCTCTGCAACTTTTTAGAGGAGGATAACAGTACTTGTGGCTTGGGATTGCTGTAAGAATGAAATGTAAGAACTGTACGTGCTCAGCGCCTGCTACAGTGCCTAACACATTGTAAATATTCAAATATATTAATCTCACCTCTTTTTAAAAATTCCACTTCCAGGCCCAGCAGCTACAGGAGAGTGCGTTGACCAAGTTGAACTGTCATAGACACTAAGTGCTTTAGGAATTCAAGGATAGATCCAGGCGACACTGGAAAAATCAGAGTAGGGTTTGTGAGGGAGGTGGAGAGCAGATAGCAGGAGACAAAGGTGAGAATAGTCTAGGCCAGAATAGCTACCTGATTGAAAGCACAGAGGTGGGAAAAGCCAGCACACGCCTGTGAGGAGGCTGGTTCCCCTGCCGTGCTTGGGCACAGGCAGAGGTCAAACGGGTGCAGTGACAGCACCGGGACCTGGGAGCTGGGAAAGGCGAAGGTAAAGAGGGGTGTTCCACGGGAAGCTGGCCTGGCTCCTCTGTGTAAGGTGCATGGGCCGGGAGCTGGGAGTTGGCAGCGGGGAAGGAGAAAGCCTGGTGGGAATGTTCAGGGAAAGGAGAGTGGTCACTCGGCAGGAAGCCGCTGACCTCAGAGCAAAGTGAGGCCCAGCTTGGAAGAACGATGCGGCCACAAGAAGACCTGGGGTGACAGCTGACAATCCCTGCCGCCTTGATGGTGCCCGCGGTAGTGGGAGGAGACCAGCTCTGTTCTGGACAGAAGCCAGTGACACCACAGGCTGCAGCCGCGTCCCAGCCTCTCTCTGAGTTGGCCACTTCCGCCTGGGCCCGGAGGACTGGTCAGAAGGAAGTGGCCAGCTGGGGCTGTGAGGCGGCCCGGTGAGAAAGAGCTTGTCAGAGAGACAACGACAAGTGACCGAAATCAAGGCTCTCGGGGATCACGGTCCCTCGCTGCCAGGGAGAGCAGCGTCCAGGGTGGCCCAGTCCAGCTCCCAGCAGTGCCTGGGGTGCGACACGCAGCTGCTTGATGGCAGGAGCCCCGGCCTGAGAGCCAAACGCTGAGCCCAGGGCTCGGGCTGCTGCTCACTGGCCGCTCACTGGGAAGCATGCTCGACCTCATGTCTCAGTTCCCCTGTGTGTAAGATGGACTGTTAGCAGCTGCACCTACCTCAGGGTTGCTGCAAGGATTAAAGGAGTTAAAATGTAAAATACCATGGTAGCAGGCATGGTGACACATCCCCTTAATCCCAGTTTGCAGGCTGAGGTAGGAGGGTCACAAGTCCAGCTCCAACCTGGGCAACTTAGTGATTTATCAAGCTGTCTCAAAATCACAACTAACTAACTAAATAAGAGGGCTGCAGATGTAGCTCAGTGCAGGGGCCCTGAGCTCAATCCCTAGTACTGGAGAAAATAACAATAAAAGCTTAGTGTTTGACCAAAATGAGTTTTATGTGTGTTTGCTGTTTATCGGCATCTTTTAAATCTGTAGTTCTGGGCTTGGGATTTAGCTCAGTGGTTTCGCTGCCTGCTGCGCAAGCTCAAGGACCAGAGTTCGATCCCTGGTACCAAAAAAAAAAAGAACTGTGAGATTAAATCTGTAGTTCTTCCTGTGGGAACTGATGGTGTCTCCCAGCACTCCCTGGAGCCACCTCTGCCATGCCTTCCCTTGAGGCCTGGAGAACTGGCGCTTCCAAGTCTGTGCTTTCAACAAATTTTCCTCTATTTGAACCAAATGGAGTGGCCGCCCTTCCTACGGAAACAGCTGCTGTCATGGAAGCTGTGAAGAACTCAGGTGTGCACATGCGGGCCTCACAGCAAGCATGTGACCCTGCCCTGGAGGTGCGGGGCCTCGGACCGGCAGGAAACCTGCGCCCACTGGGTGCCTGGCTGCGCTTGGAGTCGGTGACTTAGGGCCCTGCACTCCTCCCGAAGTAAGTTATTACCCTGGGGAAGGGCAGGCACCGATCGGCCACCAGCAGCATTTCCACTCAGTGACAGCTTTTTATTTTAGTGTATTCGTCCATGTGTGAAGTACATAATGTTACATTCCTTGTGTGGAGTTGGTACATGTGCGTAACACATCCCAATTCCTTTTTTCATCCCACTGTCTAAGAGATACAATTTTTTTTTTTTTTTTTTTTTTGGTACCGGGGATGGAGCTCAGGACCTTGCACTTGCGAGGCAGGTGCCTGAACCACTGAGCTAAATACCTGGCCCGAGACACAAATATTTTTAATTGGTCCAAACTTCATTAACCACTCTAATAGGCCCTTACTCTCAGAATTAGCTGGATCAGTAACAGACAGGGCCACGTAAAAGACTCACACCAGAGATAAGGTTCTGGGGTGAGAGATAACTGCTAAACAAGTTTTCCTGAATTATGGTCCCAGGAAGCCAGAAGGCCATAAATAACTACCAAACAAGTGGAAGGGAGAAGGGCCAAAATAGGAAAGGGAGAGTAACAGGTGCAGCGGAGACAGATGGCCCAGGACAGGCGGATCCCGGATGTGGGCCACGGAGAGGGGCGAGAAACAGAAGCTCGTGGGTCTCCACTCTGCAGTGCCTCCTGCACAAGCTCGGAGGACAGCCAGGCTTTCACGGCCTCTGGACTCCAACTTTTGGGTCTGGACAAGTAAATTCACTTCTCACACTTCCCCTCCTTTGCTCTCTCAGGGTAAGAAATATAAATTGCCCTTCTGACCCAAGTCACTTTTGGGCAGCAGCCAGCATTAAAGTATCCGCCACACCCACCGGGGCAGTGCAGTAAGTTACGAGCTCTCGGGTCCACATGGGTCAAATCCTGGCTGATGCTCTCTGCTGAGCAAATAACCCAAACTCACCAGGCCTCACTTTCTTCACAGTAGAGGGAGGACCATGGACTCTACCTTGCAGAGTCACCACGAGCCAGGCAGGAATGGCGTGATCCCCTCCTGGGCCCAGGATCCTCATACACGCGTGCTCTAGAGGCTCAGTCTTTAAAGGCACAGCCTAACCCGTAAAAATAGACAGGGAGTTACAATTCAGTCTGTAGTGGGGTCCCAGGCTGTGCGCTGGGGAGATGTTTTTGTATTCCACAGGCACTCATGGTGTCAATTTTGGAATATATGATATTTTATATGCAATACTGAAAACTCCCAGGGAGTTGGTTATTTGCTCCCCCTTCAGTCCCTGGCTCCTCATCTCCGGGTCTTTTCTAGCTGTGGCGCTGAGCATGAATAACAGGACTTCTCGGGGGGATTCCGAGCTAAGCCCTCTCCCTTGGAGAGGCCCCACGGTGGTTCACCTCCTCCCAAGGACTCAGTCAGGGGAGGAGAGCACATGCGGTTTATGTCTGAGCAGTGGAGACAGAGATCATTTTAAAGAAATAGTGAAGGGCACGGTATAAGCAGAATAAAAAGTAACAGGAGAACTGGATAATAAATCACTCAGTGTAGTTAAAACAATGCTTTTATTACACATAGGATTAAAAATCCCACTCTGCAACAATAGATATCGTTTACCAAATTCTGGGCAACAACCTGTCGGTGCCTGTGAATGTCCTAGAACCAGTGACCCCGACCCGGGGACCAGGCCTCCCCCAGTGCGGCCTGCGGCCCGTCTGCTCACCCCGTCCTGTCTTCCCCTTCCCCATCCAACCCACGTCACTTTTCCTCTGGTCCCAGAGTAGCCCCGACTCTGGACGGAAGAGCACAGGTCTCTGCGTTCCTGCCTGGCCTCCATCTGCTTTCGCCCAGCGCAGGGAGCAGGGGCTGCCATCTGTGCCCGAGCTCCCTGCGCCCGTCCCTTCCCTTCCGTCAACTCCTGTCTTGCCGTCAGCTGCTCAGGAAGGTGGCTTCCCCCAGGGCTGAGTGCAGCTCGGGGCCACACCTCCCGCTGCACTGTCCCAAGGCCCTGCGTCTGTCTCAGCTGACGAGACAGGGTCAGGAGGAAGGGCAGTGCCTGGCGAGTGTCTCCGCACAGGACCGATGGCCCAGAGCCCGGGGGCCACACGGCATCCACCCCGTTCTGTTGTGCCGCCTGCTGAGGGGCTTCTCTTCCTCCCCTCTCACCCCCGCATCCCGAGCACCGAGCCTCTCCCTCCGGACAGGGCCTCCTCCGAGTGTCCACACTGCCCAGGGTGGACAGCCGCCACTGCAGCTACCACACCGCAGCCGATCGTCCTCTGAGTCCATGTCTTCCCAGAGCAACGCAGACACAGCGCAAGCTTTGTTCTTTTTATTATTTCAAACCGCCAGTGGCTGCCACACAGCTCGGTTCACCATTAGCACACAGTGAATTGCTCTTGAGGATATAAATAAATGGACCCGAGTATTATCCAAAGAAAAGACAGAGAGGTGATGTTTCTTGCTCATAACCATAGTTGGTCAGCACAAGGCTTCACCCAGAGCCCAGTGCTCTTCTGTCTGTGGGGACAGGACCAGGAAAGCCAGGACAGCTGGTCCTCCAGATGCCTTGGCTTCCACTGGGCACTGGAGACGGGCTGACCCATGGGCCGAAGGTGATGCCACCCTGTCCCTTAGCAGCCGAAGCCACCACATTGTCTACAGCAGCCATTTCTGTTCCAAGTCTTCCGAGGGGCCCGGCGCGCAAGGCAGAGGCCTGTCTTGTACCTGCGCGCTCAGTAGCTCAGGGAGAAGCCAGACCCTCGGCCCCAGACCCCGAAGAAGGGAAAGAGCTCCTGAGTGAAGGAAGCCGTGAAGGTGTGGACGTGCTCCTGGGTGGCAGCGTTGCAGAAGGTCACCCAGCCCACCTCGTAGTCCAGGGACACCCGCAGCCGCCTGGGCTGCTCCTCCAGGGCTAGGCGGGTGGGGAAGGAGCCCAGGGCAGACACAAAGCCCCAGGCCAGCCGCACGGCCCACACCCCATCCTCCGGCCGCAGGCGCAGCTCCCCCTTCCGCCGCACATCCCCGTTCACCACCCCCACGGTGCAGCTGCCTCCGTGGGCCAGGTCCACGCTCACCACCCACGTGTGTCGCCCGCCAGTGAAGCCACGAAGGCCCAGCACGCAGGTGGCCCGGTCAAAGCGCTGGGGGCTGTCCGGTGAAGTTTGCCATTTGTAGGAGAACTGAGCCCGCTGGTGGTCCTCAGACAGCAGGAGCTTGGGGTGGGAAGTCTGGGGGTCCAGAGAGATGTGAGCTGCAGAGAAACCGAGAGAGGTGTCGGCAGATGTGCTGGGACCGGCCAGGACGGCCCAGGCCCGCTGCCCTCCGCCCCACCATCCAGTGTGCAGCCCGGGCCCAGCTGGCAGTGTGCTGGGAACAATTCTCCCAATCTGCCTCTGCACAGCTAGGGCCTCTGCATTCTGCTTGCTACAGCGGGGTAGCCGCTCAGGCCTCCTCCGGCTGGCACACAGCCTCCACGGACCTCACCCCTCTGCCTCTGGACCCAGGCTCTTCTCCCAGCCGGCCGGCCTCCTCCAGGGCCCCTAGGGCATGGTGACTGCACAGCACAGTCCTCAGCCCACAGGCTCTGTGGCTGCCCTCAGGTTGTCCACCTGGCCTCAGTAACTAACTCTTCAGACTGTGAGAGCCAGCTTAGCTCCAAAGCCTTCTGCAGAACCCCACAGACTGTCACTCTAGTACCCATAAACTCAGAGCACTCATTAATCCAGATATGTCCATGGGCTGGGGAGCCCTTTCAACAGCTCCATGACTCACCGGGCCTTTGGCTGATACGGGGTGCGGGCGCCTTGAAGGCTTTGTCCTCCGCACTCCTGTTCCACTCGCAGGCTCTGAGAGGGGCAGGGATTCCAGGCAGTTCTGAGACCAAAGTCTCCCTCGTCTAGAAACTCTTCTGAGACAGAAGCCTTTCCATTAACCTTATCCCGCTCTAATGGAATCTTTCCCTGGGCTCAACACGTGCAGGACAGATGTGAGCTTCTCCAGGAATGATGCCCATATGCCTGGTCCTTTCCTCACAGCGCCCTTCTGGGCCTTACAAAGGAAGCGCACGCGCACACACACACACACACCCCACAGGAACTACGGGGCATTGATTCTAGAACAGCTGCAGAAACCAAAATCTGCAGATGCTTAAGTGCTGCACATGAAGTGTCAGAGTCTGTAAATACACAGGTTCTCCTGCAGTCTCTAAATCATCTCTAGTTAATTATTACACCTGTCACAACATAAATGCCATGTAAGTAGTTGTTACACTGGATTGATTAGTGAGTAATGACAAGAAAGGGTCTGGCTGTGTTGAGTACAGACACATTATCTTTTCTGAGTATTTTCTAGCTGAGGTTGAATCCATGGAAACGGAACCCATGAATATGGAGGGCTGAACTTTTGTGTGTGTAACACATGCAAGTATACATGACACACATACACACGTGTGTGAGAACGCAGATACGGCTGCTTAGTGCTTGGTGCAGAGCCCTATAGCGTCATCTCATTTTGGGAGACTCCTCACTCTGCCATCCGATGTGGGCTGCTTACCTGGCTCATAGTCCAATTCAAAGCAGAGTTTTTCTGCAAAAAAGAAAATAAAACAAGATGAGATTTCATTAGTCCCAAACCAGAGAACACCAGGTGATGAGGAAGCAAGCCCCAGAAGAGGGGAGGGAGCAGGAGAGGAGGACACAGAGTCTCCGGGCTTTGCAATTCCAAATCCGAGCTTGTCTGGACGTCCAGGGCCTGTGCTCACATACATGCATGTGCAAGCACACACACACCTCCCTCAGGCCCTACACTCTGGAGGGCACAAATCTGCACCTGCAGAGCAGTGTTGGGGGCAGGGCGCCCTGCCTTGAGCCCCCATCCAGCTGGCAGCGGGCAGGGGTCCTGTCTGCCTTCCTCACCTCTGCCCTTGGAGCCCAGCACGTGGTAAGTGCTCAGCAAACATCTGCCCAGTGAATAGACAAGTGCACGCACTTGTTTATCGCTCTCCCTGGAATCGTTTTAGGGCAGTCCAGGTCAGTCTGATTAGAGCAAAATGTCCCTCCCTGGAGTGCCACGGGAATACTTCAGGACACAGGCTGCAGTAGAAACAATTCTAGGGTAACATTTTTCTGGGCGAGTTGTTTCGAAACTGGTGCATCATCCCCAATGGGGCAGGGGCAGAGAGCCTCGGGTGCGTCCTGGTTCTCATCTCAGAAGGAAAGCCAAAGGACAGGGGCTCAGCCACCACAGGGCACAGACAAGCACTGCGCTGGCACTGACTGACCGTCTTCATCATCGAAGGCTTAGCACGAACTAGGAGCACTGCTGGAAAATTTTGATTATTCAGAATGAAAATGCTGTTAATCTTTTTTTTTTTTTTTTGTACCGAGGATCAAACTCAGGTCCTTGGTGAAACCACTGAGCTAAATCCCTTGGCCAATCATTATTTTTTACATTGCTTAATGCAAACTGATCAGAGTTGTCTAATTATTCTTCAAATAAATTGAATTTTCTCCAGAAATCTTCACCTTTGTCATTTCTCTCATTGTCACATCATCCTCAGAGGAGGATTTTATAAAAATCTACCAATAAGAAAATCAAGCCACAGAGAGGGGCCAAGCCTCACCCAAACCCACAGTGCTGGTAGTGGCATCCAGGCCCGGCCCAAGCCCAGTCTTAGGGCCTGCGCTCTCTGGAGGCCAGGTCCTCTTACCCAGGAACATCTTCACCTCTCTCTGCAGCGGGAGGGCCCGCCTGGGGAAGTCCCGGATCTGCTGGCCCAGCTCTGGGGACACGGCCTCTGGTTTGCGGCACTTTCTGGTTTCACACCTGGTGGCACAGCACAGGAATGGTGGGGTGGGAATGGCCCTCCAGACCCAGCCAGTCTCCTGCCAGAGAGTGAGGCCTGGAGGCACCTGCTCCCACAGGGGATGCCTACACCTCCTCTAGGGTGGAGCCAGTGCCGGAACGCACTGTAGTGTGTGGAAGTTTGCATGCGAACATGCGCTCTTAACGTGAGAATGTTGCATGCTTGTGCAGCACTAGCCAGCCAGCCACGTGGTGCATGGACACGTATTTATGTGGGAAACAGAAACTGCATCACATACCTTATTAGGGTGCTCCTGATACCCTAAGGGAAAGAAAGAGCAGGGGTTCAGTTCTTTTCTCTTCTACTTTTCTTATGACCGCAAAATACAAAATGCTAGGTAGTGTGGAGGCGCACACCTGTGATCCCAGCACTCGGGGAGGCTGAGGGAGGAGGACTGCAAGTTCAGACCCAGGCTGGGCAGCTTTTTGAAACCCTGTCTCACAATTTAAAAATTTAAAAAGGGCTGAGGATGTAGCTCAGTGTAAAGCCCTGGGTTCAGTCTCCAGTACACCAAAATACAAAACAAACAACAACAAATCTAAAATACCATATTCCTAAGCCCAAACAGGAAAAGGACACAGACCACAGTAGGGTTCACCAGCCTTGGAGGGTCAGAGGCAAGTTCTTCAGGGTCCAGACCCGGATGTAAGTGACCTTGGCCTGTCCTGCTAGTCTGAAACCAAGGGGAGTAAACCCCACACCAAGGCATCCTGCTTCTCAGCCCCCAGCCCACACCCCAGGTCAGTGGTGGGGAACCCGGGGCACGTGTGCCACAGCTGGCTGTTGCCACGGAAAGCTCTAAAAAGAGGTCTGCCTCCACTGCCCTCAGTCCACTGCCTTTCTGATGACTTGCTGGGACCCCAGTATCTCTCCTCTGGTTTGAGGAAGTAAAACAGACGAGGAAGAACTTCCTGCCTGGTGCACAGGGGCTTCCAGGTTATAAGGAATGGTGCATTGGAAATGGTGCTCGGCCTTCGTTCACATAATACTTTTCAAAGTGTTAATTCCACTGCTGTTTTCCGCTGGGTCCTCGCGTGAGCCCTGGGAGATCTTTGTTATTCAGTGGATGGTGGGATGGAGAAACCAACAGCAGGAAGCGGAAGCACAGACTAGGACTCAGACCTCTGGCTGGCGACGGCCAGCCACCTGGGAGGCGCAGTGTGAGTGCAGACAGCAGGGCCCCACAGGCCACGCGAGCAGGCGCCTGGGCTCACCGTCAGGAGCTCCCTGGCTGGCCTGTGGCTCTTCTCCTCCAGCTCTTCAATCAGGGCTCTAAACCGGCAGATCTCCCCGGCGACCAGGTGACCGAACTCTTCCTGTTGGCTCAGGATGTCCCCGTCCAGCTCTTCTAGTTGTGACAGAAGGATGCTCTGCTGTTCCTCCAGAAAACGGCTCAGATGTGCAAACTCGGAAATCACCTGCTGTCTCCTGGTGGCCACCTGAGCCTGAGAGGCAGGATGAGAGCCCCAGAGGGGTCTTCCTCCCCGCCCCATCCTCCTCCTTGTCCTGGTCTTTCCTTACTCCGCTCTCCTCTCCCTGTTGGCCCAGATCCACAGCCTCCCGGGCTTGGTGTTAGATCATCACCACACACCCACTCCCTGGTCCCCGGCAGACTTGGGGGTGCAACCTAACCATGTCCCACCCTCCTCCTGCCTCCCCTCCTGGGAGCTGGACTGGCCAGCACTGCCTCAGCACCACCCACAGGGGCTTCTGGAAGCGTCGGGCCAGAGGAGGTGCCGAGGACCCTGAGCGCCCACCTGGCAGGAAGTGCACACTGCAGCTGCTCTCCCAGCAGAATCTCATCTGACCCTTGCAGCAGTTCAACATGGGAGCAAGGATTTTCAGTCTCCATTTTACAAATAAGTAAAATGAAGTTCAAGAGTTGCCTGAGGTCATACACAGCGTCAGAGCCGGGACCCAAACTCCGTGTGGCTTCAAAGCCCTCTGTGCTGTGCTGCCTCGGTTTGCAGAGACTGGGGCCTGAGGAAGGGCAGGGCCTGGCGAAGGCTCGAGGACCTACCAGCAGGACCTGTATCCTTTTATTTTCTCTTGACTGGATCTCTTGAATCTCGTCTCTCTCTTTTCTTAGACTCACAAGACACTTCTGTATTTGTTCCTGGAGAGAAGGAACATGAAGTACTAAGAAAACATGATTCATTAAGGGCTGTCATCGCATCCAACCCTCTACCTCTGGGAGTGAAATACCCCAGAAAAAGAGCTTGTCCCTTAGCTGACAGCACTTGGCCTTCCTCGCTTTGAACACAACATCCTCTTTTTGGTTTTGGTCCTGGGGATCGAACTTGGGACCTTGCACCTTCAAGGCAGGCGGCGAAACCACTGAGCTACATGCCCAGCCCACCCTTGCTTTGATAGCTCACTTCCTTGGGTCTTGATCCTTCTCTTCATTCGTCACAGGCTCTGCTCAAGGCTTTCCCTTTTTCTCATCAAAGGCTGTGACTTGCTTTCCCCCTTCCAATATCCTACTTTCATTGGCATCTGCTAAGTGGCATTTAGGGTTTTTAACTAGCTTGAAATCCCCTTTACTGAAATTGACTTTCTGAGGTGTTTTAAAGGGAACATGCGCAAATAACCTTCTTCTGTTACGAGAATCAATTATCTAGCTAGGTATGGTGGCGCACACCTATAAGCCCAGCATTCACAAGGCCGTGGCAGGAGGATCGCTGAGAGTTGGAGGCCAGCCTGGGCTGCAGAGTTCAAGGCCAGCCTGAAATGAGCAGTGAGACTGTCTCAAAAGAATCAATTATCTAGGTAGGATTATGGAAGGAAGAAGAAATTTGGACCATGCAAAAATAATTGATAAATTGTTTTAAAAATTGTTAGCTCTAGAATGGAGTTCAGAAGAGGTGCACATCCATAAATGTCCATATGTGTATATTCAAATATACACATAGAATGCCAACCATCAGCTGCTAGTTAACTGATTCAGATATTCGTACATACAGGCACTCACTGGTACTAAAACAACACATAAACAACCAGACCCAGCCCATACCCATTTACCGACATAAAATTATGTAGCACATGTAGTTACCCAACTTGCATATATGTAAACTCATTTATTCACAAACGTACACACTCACATCCAGATACATTCAGAGCCCACCAAACGCTCCACTCGTCACCATGCAAGCTCGAACACTCACGCACAGCGCTTCCTGTCGTTCCCCAGACACTCGCAGGCGCACCCCCGGCCGGCCGCCCCGCAGGCAGGAGGAGAGCCAGGCGGGAGGAGGGCGCAGGCCCGCGGCCGCCCGTCCTACCCTGTAGGGCGCTGCCGCCTGCTCCAGGAAGCGCACGGTGTGGGCGCTGTGCGCCCCGGCCTCGCGGCACAGCACGCACAGCTGCGCCTCGTCGTCCTCGCAGAAGAAGTAGAGCTTCTCCCCGTGCTCGGGGCAGCCGCCCTGCGCCCCGGGGCCCGGCGAGGGCCCCCGCTGCAGGCGCTCGATGCTCTCCACCACGCCGGCCAGCTGCCAGTTGGGCCTTAGGCTCCCGCGGTGGAAGGGCTCCCGGCAGAGCGGGCAGGCGAGCGGCTCAGCGGGCTCGGGGCCCGGCGTCTCGCAGTAGCGCACCAGGCAGTCGCGGCAGAAGTTGTGGCCGCAGTCGATGGTGACCGGCTGCCGCAGGGCGGCCCGGCAGATGGGGCAGCTGACCTCGTCCGCCAGGCTGCTCGCGGCGGCGGCCATGTGGGCCCCGGGGAAGCTGCAGCGGAGCCGGAGGACAGCGGGGAGGCGGCGAGCAGCCGGGCCCTGCCCTCGTCCACACGGAGCCCCTCGGCGGGAGGGCAGGGTTGGCACCTCAGCCCTCGCCCTGGAGAGATCGTTCTCGCAGCCGCCTGTCTCCGGGGAGATTGGCTATCAGCGAGCCCAGAGCTTGAGGGCACAGGGCAGGGCCTGCGGGCTCAGATAAGGCCCGGGCTGGGCGCAGCCCCCGCAGGCGTGTGCGCTGCCTGGGGAGGGGAAAGGAAAACGGTCGTGCCAGGACCTCCGGACGGCGATGCACTCCTTACACCGACAGACGCACCTCAAGGTGTGCTGTGACGCCCTCCACCTGTCGGTCAGGGCCTCCACTCCGTGGTCCGGAAGCTGAAGTAGGAAGCCGAGAGACCCTAATTTGCAGTCAGGTATTGGAAAACAGCTCTGGTTGCAAATCATTTCAGTCCAACAGAAATACAACTTCTCTCTATTTCTGTCCAATAGAAATAGAATTCAAGGGCCGGGGATTTAGCTCAGTGGTTTCGCCGCCTGCTGCGCAAGCGGAAGGACCCGAGTTCGATCCCCATACCAAAAAAAAAAAAGCAAGAAATATAATTCAAGCCACATGAGCAATGTAAGATTCTCAAGTAGCGATATGGAATAAAAAGAAACATGAAATTAATTTTAAGAATATATTTTATTTAGCCCAATATATTTCCAAAATTATTTCAACATGTGATCAGCAAGCGAGATTACAAGCGAGATGCTTCATGGTTGCTTTTTTATAGCAAGTCCTTTCAGTCCAGTGTGCATCTGCACGCTAGCACGCCTCAGTCCGGGCTGGACACAGCTCAGCGGCCACCGGCAGCCCAGCCGGGACTGCACGCTGCTGGCAGGCGGGGGCACGCGGGTGGAAGGAAGCAGCACCAGGGCGCCGGGCTGGTCCTGCATCGGAGACTAGAAGGGAGTCTGGTTCTGTCCCCTTGAACGGGGGCCGCAGCGTCTTCATGCTGGAGTGCAGTATGGGGAGCAGCACAGGATCTTCTGACGGGGACAGCTTGGACTGTTCTCGGCCTACTGGCTGTAAAGCTCTGTGACCTTGAGAAAGTCGCATGACCTTCCAGTTTATATCTCCTTCTCTGTAAGATGAAGGTAATGAAACCTGCCCCAAAGTGAGGTGCAGCACAGAGATGTGAGGTCCTAAGGCTCACAGCAAAGCCCGGTTCACACTGCAGTCACCGGGACCAGGGCCTCTTGAGCCTCAGTCCATTGCTCTTCTGCCCCCGACACGGCTGCCTGGAAATGTTACTTCAGCCGGAAAGCTGGGGCAGGCAGCTCATCTTCACCATGTCTGGATTCTATTCTTGACCCCGGCTGACCCTGAGGACTACGGGCCATGGCATGGCTCTGTCTGGCTCCTTCTCGCCTCTTCTTTCATGCTACGAAGTCATTGAGGAGGAAGTCCACAATATGGGAATTCATGGTCGCGTGGCCACAGAGATGGGGTGTCCCTCTGTTCCCATCAAAGCCCAGCCTGCAGGTGGCAACCTCAGAGGCTAAAACCAGTGTCACATGCTCTTCCACCAACCTATGTTGATGCCAATCACGAATTCCTTTTGCCTTAATTGTTCTCTATGAAATTACCATACGCATTTCCACCTAGCGCTCAAGAAAGTGTGGTGTGGTGTCATCAGTGTGGAAGGATTTTTGAAGACTTCTGCATGGCTCTGAGAGCACAGTGTGGTCCATATTAGAATCTTTAGCTAAGACCATAGCGAGAAAACAGAGCGCTCTCATCATTGGCAAGCTTATCACGAGAGCTATCTACTTCCACATTATTATTTGGAGGAATGAGTCTTGGAACCACTTACTCCTGGTTCCACTTAATAGGTACACAGATGACCCTCTGCAAGCCAGCTCTGGGAGCCCTTCCTGACCATGTCCATCTTCCTGTCCCTGGGAGGCTCAGATTGAAAACAAGAAACAACAGGAGGTAAAAGCAGCTTTCAAGAGGCTCCAGCAGGAGCTGGGGGACCAGCGGCCCCTCCTGCTGGCCAGGCTGAGGAAGCTGGAGCAGCTGACCTGGAGCAGGAGTACATCAGGAAGGTCTCAGAGGAGGTCGCCTGGCTTGGAGCCCAGGTCAAGGAGCAGGAGGAGAAGTGTCAACAGCCAGCAAGTGAGCTTCTGCAAGTGAGACCCATCACCCATGGGAGAGCAGAAGGGTTCCATGGGCAGGGCCCATCCGGCGGACTGCCAAATGCTGGTGAGAGGCAGGAGAGGGAAGCTCAGGCTCCCTCTAGTGGGAGGGAGGGGTGGTTCCCTGACCCCTCTGGCCCAGAGTGGTGGGACACACACTGTGGGCGCAAGGGCTCTGCAGTCAGACAGCCCTGGGTTTGGTGTTGACTTTTCCAATTATGTCACCTGGGTGAGTCTCTTAATCTCTATTAGCAATGGGGATAATAATAGCATTTTTCGTAGGGTTGTTGGAAATGGTATGAGAAACAAGCTGTGTAAAACGCTCACCCTGAGTGCCAACAAAGGAACGCTCACCCTGAGTGCCAGGGTCACGCTGGGTCCAGCTACGAACTCAAGACTGGTCCCTGCTCTTCACGGTCCCCAGGAAAGTGCTGAGACGGGGAACCAGCACAAAGGAGCTGGCTTTGTAGTCCATACGAGCAAGGAAACATGACGTGAAGGAACAGTTTCATGAGTAGATAGTTAAGTAGATAACTTTCTGGGGGAGGAGAATTTTGAGCCGATGTTTTAAAGGAAGAGATGTTCAGAATCCCCGACAGGAAGGACACGCGGAAACTAAGTGCACCTTCTTCTCTCTCTTTCCTAGCACGTCAGAGGCCACCAGAGCAGGTAGGGCCACTTCCCCTCCTGCCTGCGTGATGCCTGTCCCTGTCCCTGAGGCACTGACTGCTCCCTGCTCCCCCGTGGGTGGCCGTCTGGAAGAGCGAAGCCCTCAGACACCAGCCCCTCACACACTAATGAGCTAAGCTCCCTTAAGATTCGTGTTCTAAAGGCTTACTTTCAAACTGATGGGTTGGTATTGGGGACACATATTTTCCTCCTAGAAGTGAAGTTATAATTAATAGTCATGGTTTTAGGCAGAGCCAGGGACACCTTTAATCCATGCAATTATTAGTATTTGCGTCAGTGCCTGACACCATTTGAAATGTACTTGAGGACATATTTTCAGGAGCTCGTGATAAGCACGGAGGCCAGGAACCCACCTTGTCCACTCCCTCCTCCCGCCCCACTCCACCTCCCGTCTCTTCAGAGCCTCCCAGGGCTGCCTTGAGCGGACAGCCCCCCGGCAGGGAGGCTCTGTAGACGCGTGCCCTGTCCTTTCCTCGCTGCTGTGTGCATGAGCAGCCTGCGCTGAGGTGAGAGGAGACAACGACAGGGCCCTGTGCTCTGCGCGCCGCTCTCGGGGCCAGGGAGGCAGTGTCTGCAAACACGCTTTCCAGGGCTGCCAGAGGGTCCGCTGAAGCTGGGGAGGCCAGTGACTAAGGGGACTGAGGTAGGACCAGAATCTGGAGCGCTTTCGCTACGATATATGTTTTCTTTCGTCTCCTATGTCTCCCCTCCTGGCGCGTTTTCCTTTAAAAAGGAAATTACGCATGGGGCCGGGCTTTTTCAAGTGGCGCCGCACTGCCCTCTGGCGGCGCGCTTTCCCCCTGGGCCTCGCCGGCCAGCACGGGAGGGCGCCGGGTACCGCCCCTCGGGGGTCTGTCTTTCCCTCCTGCTGCCCGCAGAAAGCCCGGAGCGCCTCTTGGACAGAGTCAGGTGAACACTGAATTTGGGGACCACTCTTTCATTCATCCACCTGGTCCATGGCCGCAAACAGCAGCCGCGCTCCCGGAAAACGAGGCCAGGCTGGAAAATAGCCGTGAAAACTGACGGGGCCTGGCGATTTTGATCTCTAGCTTTCAAGGCTGAGTATTTTCCAGCCGGGCCTCGTTTTCCGGGCAGGGAAATTAAATGAGTGCATTCTGAAGCCTGATTAATAGAGTCTTTCTTCTAGCTCGTGCTAACTGAGACACTGGCAAGTTATGAAGTTCTTCATCCCGTATCTAAAACCTGAAGAAAATAACAGCTGTGAGCATTAAATAAATCAGAGCATGCAAAGAGCTTAGTATCATAACTGGCACATAGTAAATGTTCAGTAAATGTCACTTCTTAGTATAGTTGTTTTTCATTCAAAATGTTTATTAAGCCCTGTTTTGCCCAGCTTAATCCACTGCGCTGGATTCTCTATAAGTTAGAACAAATATTGTGGTTTCCAAAAAATAGCATTTACTTTTACGTTGGTGCTTAATTTAGAAGCTGTTTCCACGATCACCACCTCATAGATCAGCGCTTCTGAACTCCGTTGAAAAAGCCCCGCGGACTGGCTGGAGCGCAGGTCCGGGTGGGTTGGTCGGGAGAGCCCAGGATCCCTCGTTCTGACCGGCGCACGGGCCCCTTGCCTGCCGCGGGTCTGGCCTCCGGCTTTGAGACCCACACCCTTCCCGCGGCCCCTGGCGGCCAGAGGAGCAGGAGGGAAAACCGAGGTTCAGAGGGGGCTGCCCAGGCCCGCGCTCACCCGCCCGCTCCCGGGTCTGGGGGTGGCGCCCTCCGTCCTCCAGGGGGCGCCACCTGGGCCGCACCTTGCCAAGCTGAGCGGGCCGTGGCAGGCGGGGTAAACGGCGGGTCACCGTGCCTGGGGGCGAGGCCGAGGTAGGGCAGTCTCCGTGTTTCTCTTCCGCCTTCGGCCCCGGCGCCCCTCCGAATGCAGGGCCAGAGCGCTTGGGACATCCGTGCGCCACTGGGTTTGGAGGAAAAAACGAACTCATCGTCCTGAGGAGGAGGGCAGGGGATTTAGCTCAGTGGCACTGTGCCTGCCTCGCAGGAGCAGAGTCCTGAGTTCGATCCCCGGTACTGGGGGGAAAAACCATCCTGAGGAAAACCAGGACTTTATTGGGCTTGCATGAATTTATACAGTTGCCTTTTTAATTCTGACACACATCTGGGGTTGCACTTGCCTATGCAGGGTGTGGGGCGTTTTCCTCAGGCCCGGGTACATCCGAAGCCCTCCGTCCTGACTGCCTCCGTGTCCTCGCTCCAGACTTGCAGAGAAAGCCCGAAAAAGTGACGTGCAGGCCTCTGCATCTCACTTGCCTCATCTATCCACAGAGGGCCTGGGAGGGAGCGCAGCACCATAGTGTGGGTGTTGAATGTCCCCAAAGGCCCTTATCCTGGGCTCGGTCCCCAGGGGGAATCTGGGGCCTGGGGAACCTTTAGGAGGAGGAAGGGCCCTGGGAAGGTGCGAAGGTCGTGTCTGTGATGTAGGTGGGGCATCCTGGGACTGGCTTCATCCTCAGTGGATTAATCTGTTGATGGTTTAGTAGCTAAATGTGTCTTTAGGACATGGGGCCTAACTGGAAGAGGTGGTTCGCTGGAAGGGCATATTTTTGTATGGGGCTCCTTCCTTTCTTCTGTTCGTTTTTGGTCTTTTTTCTACCACATCCTTTGCTATGTTGTTTTCTTCTTGGAGTTAGTCCCCTACGCATGGATCAGACCCTCTAAAACCATTAGTCAAATGAACCTCTTCTCTGTTAAGTCATGGGTGTTGGATATTCTGTCCCAGCAAGGTGATTGTGGCTGATACAAAATATTCGTACCAGGGGTGGGGAGTTGGCTTGATTATACATGTGGTTCAGAAGCTTTTAGAACTGGTTTGTGGGAGGTGTTTGAAAAGGTTTGTACACGCAGGATAGAGAAGCCCTGAAAATTGGTGGGTGCTCAAGACCAGATGGCTGATAGGAATGCAGACAGTAAAGGCCACGATGGGAATGAAGACTGCACTGGAAAATGGAGGTAATGAGCACCAGAGCTGTGGCACATGTGCTGTCTCTGGGCCCCACTTGCTTTGCTCTGCCTGTGGAACCCACTCTTCTGTCTAGGAGGAGGGTTGCTGGCTTAACTCAAGTCCTTTATTTTCCCTCTCATTAAGTTCTTTTCTTTTCTTGGACTTCCAATAAACAGAATTGACTCAGTTATACTCAGCTCTTGGTTCACAGCCAGCAACGGTCCATGCAAGGTCTCATTTTATTTGTACCTTCTCCTGTATCTCCAGTTCTTGTTCCCACTCTTCTCTGCCCCGTAGGCAGCTACTCTCTAAGGCTTTTCACATTGCATATACAGGGATCCTTGAGTATATAACAGTACTAGTTCTGTTTCTTGTGCTTTAAAAAAAAAAAAAAAAAAAAAAACCTGTACTATGGCTTTGAGATCTAGCTGTATTGCTGTATATACACCTAGTTTATGGTTTCTAACTGCTGATCGAATTCTATACTATAGCTCCATCACATTTATCATATGGTCTTATGGTAACGAACATCTAGATTACCTCCATCTGCCAATGACAGCCAGCCGCATTGACCAACACCCTGTAACTACAGTACTCCCTCATGAACCTGTGTAAGGGCCTCAGATAAATTCCAAGAATAGGTGGCCATATTTGCACAAATAATTTCCTCAAATACCACCCCGTTACTCCCCAGAATGGTTGTCTTCATTTACACTTTTACCAGAGGACTGTGGAGATCCCTGCCCCCCCATCAAGCCCCATGCCAGTTGCCACTGTACCAAAAATCAACTTAAAGTATGCACAGCTCTATGTTTTAAGTTTAAAAATCATGCAAAACAAAATTGGAAGCCTGATGACCATACAGTGGTAGTATTTTATTGTTTTATTTTTTCACTTTTGCTCATTACCTGTGAGGTTGAGCATCTCCTCAGAATTTTCTCTGTATATTTTTTACCCATTTTTCAGTTTTTCTTTAATTGACTTTCAGGAATTTCTTGAATAATATAGATAGATATTAACCTCTTGATCATTTTAGTCTTGAAAAAGACTCATTTATTAACAATGACTATGATGCTATTCATTAGACAGGAATTTTGAATTTGGATAATAATTAATTTCATAAAATTTTCACTTTTTAGTTTGTGCTTTTAAGATCTTTTTCACCATCACAAAATTATAAATATGTTCATTTACATTTTGCTTTCCCACTAGTTTTATAAGTTGGTTGTCCAGATTAATGTCTTTACCCGGTTTAAAAAAAATCAATGTTATTTTTCCCATATATTAAACCAGCTTTTCCACCTCCATCTCCTTAAACAATCCACCTGATCTTCACTGATGAGTGGTCCTACTTATACTACACTAATTTCCCGTGAAAATAAGAGTGGTTTTTGACTCTTCTATTCTGTTAGTCCACTTGTCTTTCCTGAACCGAGGTGCCTTGTTTTTTACTGTTGTGTCCCTGTAATCTACCTTAGCGTTGTCAAATAGTGCTACCTTCTTTGCTTCTTTCTTAAATTTACCTTAGCTATTTGTAGATCTTTATATTTCCATATAAATTTAGAATCAATTTGTTTCTTTAAAAAAGAAAAAAACCTGGAGCTCTTTTAACTTAAATTACATTGACACTGATGCAAATTTTATTGAATTTGGGAAGGATTGGGGGAAAGTGGAGAATTCTAACATTGTTATCCTTTCCATTAAAATGTCCCTCTTTATCTAGATTTATTTTATGTCTTTTGACTTTGGAATTTGAATATGGAAAATTTAAATTTTGAAAATACAGAAATTTCAAATTTTCTTTATAGAAAAATCTGGCAATATCTAATAACTATTTGGCCCAGTACTTCTCCTTTTATTTATTTTTAATTTTAAAAATTGGGGGGCCTGGGGATTTAGTTCAGTGGTTCTGCTCCCTGCCTTGCAAGGTCCCCAGTTTGATCCCTGGTACCCAAAACAAAACAAAAATGTGTACAATGAAACACACTGAAAATAGTTTGGTACACTATAGCTTCCATTACAGGATAATCAATAGTAGTATATTCATAAAATATACCACTATGCAACATTTGAAATGAATCACAGCTACATGTATCTGCATGTATAAATTTAAAAAGCATCCCATTGCACAACCAAAAAAATCAAGTTCCCCAGCTATTCCCCTTCTAGCTATCTTTCCCAAAGAGTTAGAGACATATTACAGTGACACATGCATAGCCATGTTTATAATAGCAGCACAATTCTCTGAAGTCACACTGAACTCGGATGATGTCCTAGTTGTGATTAAAAATATACATATTTGCAGATCATTCATTGAACAAGTCTTTATTGAGCACCTACTCTGTGCCCAGCACTGTGCTAGGTGCCATGGAGAATACAAGTTTTAAGAGACAGTGCCCGCCCTCCAGGAGCTTACAAAACTAGAGGCAGAAACAGGATGCAGGTGTGACCCAGGCAGCATGTGGCATGCACAATTCAGGTGACTCAGGGACAATGCGGTGGCCAACAGACCAAGGCCCACAGTGCTCGGGTACAGTCCCTCAGAGCAGGGCAGAAGAGTTCAAGCTCGGAAAGCAGGGGCCTGGGGAGCACCCGGAACACGTCAGGATGAAGCAGGACATCACTTGGGCTGAACTGCGGAGCTTGTGCTGAACTAGGGGTGCCGGCCGGGGTCCCTGAACGAAGGACTGGGCCTTGGGTGGGCTGAGCCTTCAGTTCCCCTCTGGAAGGCAAGCAGGTGAGAGGCGGACACCGCCTCCCTTCCCTCCCCCTGCCCAGCCCTGTCTGCTCCCCAAGGAAGTGAGCCTGAGGCTGAGTGCGGGCAGGACAAGCTCCACACCCTCTGAAGGAACCGGGCAGAGTCCCTGCAGCGAGGGAGCCTTGCTCTCCTGGTGTCTGCCCCGCTGTCTTCCGATGGTGGACCGCCAGCCAGGTGCCCGGGACTCTCTTAAGGACTGCCCTCCCGAGGACCAGCCCACGGGGTAACCGCTCACTGACCAGCGGCCACACGTGCTGAAGTCCTCCTGGCAAGGACACGGATGGCTCCAGGGGGTCCCCAGCTACAGAAACCAGGCTGGTGAGCCCAAGCCCCACCAGTGATTCCCAGGAGCGCTCCTGGCAGCTGAGCCCACAGCCCGAGTGGACTTTGATTCAGCGTATTTCCACTTTTTTTTTTCTTTGCATATTTCCACATTTTATGGACCTTTAATTCCAAGCTGGGACAGGAGTAGGTCTGCTTAAAACGCCAGGGAAGGTGGGCAGCAGAGAATCTGGGCAAGGGAAGCTATGGGGCTCAAGGACATCAAAATAGTCTCAGGTGCAATCCATGTCCTTCCCAAGACAGCCAGCGGGACAGGGTACAGAGCACTGGGCCAGGAGATGCTGCCTCGCCGCCGCCGCCCCCCACCCCCCCACCAGCAGAGCTGGGCCACAGGGACAAAGGGAAACCGCAGGAGGGAGGGGCGCCGGCTGGAGCAAGGCAGGCAGCGAGAATGCTGAGCGAGGTCTGGGGCCACGTGGCGGGGCAGCGGGTGGCAGTGGACAAGGGTCTGTCTGCTCCCTGCTCCACAGGCTCTGCCGGGCGCCCTTTCCCCGCCAGAGTCCTAGATTCCCAAGAAATGAAGCATCCATGGGTGGGGCTCAGGGTCTCAGCAGGAGGCGTGTTCCCGGCCACCTGAGCCACAGGAAGGGGACCAGGCGCCCTGTGAAGGCGGCAGTGAAGGTGTGGATGAGTTCCTGGGACTCTGCGTTGGTGAAAGTCACAGTGCCACCCTCGTAATCCAGGGCGATGCCCACTCTCCGGGGCCGCAGAGTAGGGAAGAGCTCCATCTCGGGGCTGCTGTTGGCCCAGATGCTGGAGGAAGAGAGGCGCAGTGCCCACACCCCGTCTTCCGGCCGCAGGGAGACCTCTCCCTTCCTCTTCACGGAGTCTCTGGCCACCCCCACCATGCAGCTTTCCAGAGCTTCCTCCTCCTCCTCCTCCTCCTCCTCCTCCCCCTCCTGCTCCTCCTCCCCCAGCGAGTCCTCATCCTCATCCGTTTCCCAGTCCTCGTAGCCGTCCCTGTACCCAGGCTCCTCCTCCTCCTCCTCCTCCTCCTCCTCTTCCCCCTCTTCCTCCTCGTCCCCATCGCCCTCCCCTTCAGACCAGCCCTCCCTCTCCACCTCCACTTCCCAGTACACCTTGCCCCAGGTGAAACCCTTGCTGCCCAGCACGGCCGGTTCACAGTCGAACTGCTGAGGGCACAGGTAGGTGCTCTGGTACAGGCTGCTGTAGGCCACGCTCGTCCAGTCCTCTGACAGCTGCAGGTAGCCACTGGCGGACTGTGGGTCCAGGGTGACACTTACTGCAGGGACAAGGCAAGAGGCCAGCGTCACAGGCAGGCCAGGAAACGGCCACCAGTCCCCCCACGTGCTCGGCAGGGCTGGCACGCCACAGCCCGAGGGGCGCCGTTCACTTCCTGGTCCACAGAGCAGGGTCTCCTGGAGGCCGCAGCACACAGCCTGGCAGCAAAGCACGGCCCACACAGCCCCTGGACGCAGGGAACCACGGCCATTTGCTCAGACAAGTTGGGGGGCAAGAAACCCCGCTGTGGACAGAACAGCTGCGCCCAGGCAGAAGGGCCCGAGCCTCGAGCAGAGGCCAGGCGAAGGCGAAGGAGTGGGAGACTGCGCAGGGCGGGGCTTCCAGTCTGCAGCTGGGAAATTCCCCTGCTGCCAGAGAAGAGCGGCTGGGGAGGGCCGGGGACGTAGCTCAGTGGCTCCGCCGCCTGCCTCGCAAGTGCAAGGACCCGCGTTCGATCCCGGGTACCAAAAGAGAAGAGGACCAGGGGAGATGGGCGCTCAGCACTGCTACAGGGGAGTTTCCTCTGGAGTCAAATCGGGACGACTCCCGACACTCACCTGTCTTGTATTCCAAGTCCCTCAGCAGCTTTCCTGGGGAGAAGAGAGGACGCGATGACCTTCAAGCCCAGCAAATGGCGGCCCCTTTCATACCGGATGGCAGCATTTCCTGACAGGGCTCCATCCCCGAGACCCCAAGAAGGAAACTGACAACCACCGGGGAGCCTCTGGGAGTGGGGGCCAGGGAGCATGACCGTGAGAAGCCGGGTGTCCTCCCGGGCCCGGTGCTGTCCCCAGCCTTACCCTGGAATTCCCTCAGGCCTCGCTGCAGAGAGAGGACTTTGTCTGAGAATTCTCCAGTCTTTCTTTTAACCATGTGAGGGATGGGTTTTCCAAGCCAGAACTTCTTCCGTGGGTACCTGAGAAGACGACGGAGACAGCAACTTGTTACGCGGCGCTTCCTGTTTTTCTCTCGATCTTTGAGACTATGACGGAGGAGGCAGGAAAGATTTGATTACCTCCCACCAAGAGGCAGAAAAACGGGCCCGCAGACACCACTGAGCCAGGCCTGAGGACCCCCAGACCCCTCACGTGAGCGCCTTTGTCTGCCCTGCCAGGTTTCTGCCCCACACCCCTGCCTCGGACAGGAAGTGGCCCCGACCTGGGGTCACACCGAGGACATGTGCGGGCCCAGCAGCCTCCAGTGCCCAAGACGTGCTCCTGCTCCCTGAAGCCACTGGGAGGAAGCAGGGGACGTGGGGACCTCTGGTACCGCACAGCACCTTGTTCATTCACACGATCATGGTCCAGGACGAGGGGAGGGGCCAGGGCCAAGGACTGGGTGCCCTGCGGAGAGGAAGCTCTTACCTGTTCACGTAGTCTCTGGTGTCCTGGAAGGAAGAGAGCACAGCATCAGCACGGACCGAATTAGGCTGCACTCACATGCACCCCACGCGGTCTGCAGGCAGGGACAGCAGCTAGCAGAGCACAGGGGCCCTTCCTCAGACAGCTGACATTCCACCTCGGCACTGGACAAAACAAGCAAGCAAGCAAATTCATCCCAACGACAGGAGCAGCTGGAGGAGGAAATGACAGGACCGGAACCTCCAAGCAGACAGCAGAGCTAAGGCTTAAAGGAGGAGAAAGTACTGGCCAGTGAGAGTGGCAGGAAGGAGTGTGAAAGGGCGTGAAGAAGGACACAGGCCTCACAAGGCTGGGTCGGATCGTACGGGGCAGGACTTTGAATTCTGCTCCATGCGCAGTAAAAAGCCACCAGAGGGCTTCAAGCAGGGAACAGACACATGGTCGTCTTTACACGCGGCCAAGGCAGTCAAGGACCCTCCAGACTCATCCTGTCCTACTTTCAAGGACAGAACCCCCAGAGTTAGCGCTGGGCACGTGGCTACCCTGGAACTACACCGCCCTGGGCTGGTCATCCAACTAAGTTCCAGCAAGTGGAGTGTGGAAGAAAGCAATGGCTATGATTTCTGGGTCTTATCAGAAAAGAAAAAAAGGAAAAGGAAGCAGAGAAGGGAAAGGGAAGGCAGAGAAGGAAAGGAAAAAGAGAAAAGAGAAAAGAACAAAGGGAAGGAAGGAAAAATGCCTTCTAGCTCTTCTTTTCTCCCCAGCTGAACTCTGGACACAGAGGTGATGAACCCAACTTTGAGCACACAGCTGAGGACAAAGCTGGTGACCAGCCAGATAGAAGTAACCCAGCTGCCTGGATGACCTCATGAAGCTCTCTAGACGCCCTCCCCCGAACTGCTGCTGAGACAGGGTCAGACTTGCTTTATGTGAGCTACCAGTCAGCAGCTAACTGAAACCCTACATGATCTGGCTGCCTTAGGAGAACCGGGAGGGAGGCCCGGCAGCTGCTGAGGACCAGGGAAGGCAAAGACAGCCGGAGCCAGGGTGGTGGCAGTGGAGGCAGGAGGGAAGCTGCGCATCCCGGGAATGTCCTAGACAGACTTAAGCAGTCACCCGAGGACAGCCACGGCTTGAACAGGAAGGGCTGCGTGCTAGCCACGTGAGGGCCACACAGGTGGAGAGGGCTCTTGTGAGATGCTGCTTAGACCCTCTTTCTAAGTCCCAAGGGAGCAGCAAACGCGGAAGAAATGACACAAACCCCTACCTGGGTACAGCTGACATTCTAGCAGAGGAAGTCACCATAACAGATATCAAACCATGTTAGCAACAAGCGCTAGGGAGGAGAGAGCAGAGTGAAGCGGGTGGGGGGGCCGGCGGGGTTCCTGCTGAGGGTGGGATTTGGGAAACTACAGGAATCACCAAGCTGTGCCTGATAAGGCCTGTTCCTAAAGGCGCAGGAAGCCTGACTCAGGGCCTTCTCCACGCCAGAGCTTCAGCTACCTCTTGCCCCTTTGCCCAAGCCACTGCCCAGCCTGGCTGTGGGGTTTACAGACAATGTTCAATCCACTCCCACCAGCTGGGGTGGGTGGAGCAGGGCAGAGTGCACTGTGATCTGGGAGTTGCTACAACAGAGAAGAACGGAACAGGAGAGGAAGCCTCAGCAGAGGGTTCAAGGCTGCGAGCAGTGCGAGCGCAGGAGCCCTGGCAAGGGGAGGGCAGGAGGGCTGAGTCCAATCCCGCCCCCACTCTAGGACCTTTCTCACCCAGCAGCCCTGTGCGGCCGGCAATGGGGCGGAGCAGCGAGGCTGCCTGCTCTGCGGGAGGGCACCCGGGCCGGGCCGGGCCGGGCCGGGCCTGGCCGCCGTCACCCTGACCATCACCCTCAGGCAGCACTCCCACACTCGGCTCCGCTAGCAGCCCCTTTATCAAAGGTCGTTTCCTGACATTACCTTTTGATCCTCCAGCTCACCTTTGCTTCTCTCAGATTTCTGGACCCTATTTTGGGTCTTTCTTGCTGTTCTTTGACAGCCAAATATTTACAATAATTATGGAGTTAGTTGTGCAGTTGCTTTGCAGCTAAGCAAAACCCAAACAATCACACACAGCCGCCAGCGCCAGCGCCAGCACCAATGGCCAGCACCAATGGCCAGCACGGACGTTTCGCTCGCGTTCTGGTTTTATTGACACAGGTAAGTCCTGTCCTCTCTCCCTTCCCTCAGGCCTGTCCCACCTCCTCCCCCTGGGCAGACACGAAGGTCTCAGCCCCACCCGGGGCCCAGCCAGGTGCTTCTGCTTGGAGAAGAAAACCTGTGCCCCTAGAGGGCGTCAAAGGATGCGTCTCCCTGAAGGCAAAGGGAGCAGAGCGAGGGAGAGGCAGCAGGGCCAGACACATTTTGGACCAAATGAGAGAAAAGAACAGGAGCGGGGGCCTGCGAGTGGGACCCTCGGGCTCGGCTCGGTGCGGGCTCGGCTCTGTGGCCGCTCCAACCTCGCCATGCCCCCACACCGGACAGATCCTCCGCTCCTCCGCTCGCTCGCACGGGGACCTGTGCACGGTGGAGCGGCAGGCGCAGGCGCAGGCGCAGGTTCTCTGCACACAGTCCGCGTGCGTTGGTCCAGGCGACTCCCACCACCTCTCCTGCCCATCACTAAGCCCTGCCCTGGCCAGGGACCTGCTCTTCCCAGACAAGCCGTGCACCTGGTGAGAGAGACCATCAGCCGCTCTCCTGGTTGGTCGGGACGGAAAGCTGAGCTCCCACCCCTCCAAAGGCTGCTGAGCCTGGGTAAAGTGGCAACGCGCGCGCGGAGTTCGGGCCTGACGACTGCTCTGGCGGCACAGCCTCCTCCTCCAGGACGCAATCCAGGCACCTCCCTGCTCTGCCCAGTTGCCTGGGGACTGAGTCCAAGGCCTCAGAGAAAACCCCACCATCTCCGTCTCCCTTCACCTCGGGTCTTGGACAGTTCGGGCCACTCTCAGCCGTCACGGCCACCTTTCCTCATCCCTGGAACTACGTCCTATTCCACCACACGCGTCTGCCGTGGGCTGTCCCGGGAGGGCCAAGCCGGGAGTGATGGGGACAGAGGACAGTAATTCCCCTCCATCTCTACAGCACTTTTTAATTTTTTAAACACTTTGTATAGGCGATTTAATTTTTGAAATGACACGTTATTTCATCTTATGTTCGAGTAACCCTCGGTGAGGGTAAGAGTGCCCTGACATGCTTCAGATGACAAAACTGAGGCCCCATAGGGAGGCCTCTCACGAGGTCCCGGGACGGCCTCGAGGGCCGGGCGGTGTCGACCCTCGCCTCCCAGCTCCTCCCAAGCAAGGCCTCTCACCTGCATGAGCTCTGTGGCTGGCTGCTGGGCCTTGCCCTCCAGCTCAGAGATGAGCAGAGCCAGCCGTGCGAGCTCCCCGACGCCCCGGGTCTTGAACTTCTCCCTGCCCTCTGTGAGCAGGTGCTCCAGGGTGGCCAGCTGGTCCAGCAGGTGCTGCTCCCGCTTCTTCAGGAACTGGTGGCCCTGCTTGAATTCTGCCACGATGTCCTGCCTCTGCTCCTGCAGCTTTGTCTGAGGGGCCAGGAGGGGACAGGGAAGTGCTCTCTGGACTCAGCATTAGAGATGAAAGGGCTGGCTCTTTCAGAAATTCTATGGCTCGTGTGGTGGGAGAAGCCATCAGGTGTTCCAGGTCCACCCTCCTCGTCCCAGAGGCCCTGACTAGTGAATCAGCCCAGTTCACCTCCTCTTGAGATCAGAACCAAATGCCTGTCTGGTCAGCCAGTGTCTGTCTGAGGTAGACTAGAACGTCCAGGTGCTGGGAGGAGCCCTGTGCCCTTCCTGAGCCAACACGCCTTTTGCTCCTGGATAAAATCTCTGGGTGCTGCCTCTTCCAGGAAGCTCTACCCATTTCTTCTCGGCCTTTCGGCTCAGATCAAGAGCAGTACCTGCTCCTGTCAGGAAGCTTACTTGGTGAATGTCATCCCCGCACTAACCGATCCTGCCTTTGGTCCCTTAGGTTTATGTGTGAAACATCTATGTGCACCTGTTCGTCTCTGTCCTCGGGACTGCAGCCTGTCTCCTCAGTGAACCTGGAAGGAGTGTGTGCAGAGACGTGACCTTTCCTGCTCCATCTCCCCTCCAAGTCCAGGTAGCCATGCCATGGGGCCTGCAGGGCTCCTGGAACTCATGCTATTTACAGCATTACTCTCTCCGCAGCCAGCTCCCTCCTTTCAAATCCTCTGGCTGCCCTCCGCTCTCAGAAAACCACATCTTTCCCACTCTGAAAGGAAGCATGGAGCTGGGCCTTCCTCAGTTTCCTGGCAGAAAAGCCACAGCAGCCAGACACAGGCCCTGTGGCTGAAGTGAGTCAGAGAGGAAGGAAGTGACCCTGCTAACACACTCCCCGGCCAGCTGGGAAACAGGCCCAGAGCCTGAAGCACGCAGCCGGCTCATACACAGAGCTCTGGCTAAAGCCCAGGGTGCTGGCTGCCGGGCCAACAGCTCCCAGAGCTACTCCGGGGCACGAACGCCACCCCAGCGCCCACCGACCCCCAGCGCCCCTGCCCACACGGGTGAGCTGCTCACACCTCCTCTCGGCCACTTACCAGCGCAGCCAGGATGTCAGCTTCTCCCTTCGCCTGAAAGCCCTGAATTTTGTCTCTGTCTCTCCTTAGGGTACCCAAGTGGTTCAGCATTTTTTCCTGGGGAAGACAAGCAGCGCACAGATGCAAGCTCTGGACCAGGCAGCAGGGACGATGAAGGCCGAACCCCCAGCCAGAACTTCTGGTGGGTGCGCAGGCCTCCCTCACCGGGAGACGCCGGGCAGCACTCGAGGCGGGCAGAGGCGGGAGGCGGGAGGCGGGAGGCAGGAGGCGGGAGGCGGGCTTACCCTGTGCGGCTGGGCGGCCTTCTCCACCAGGACGGCCGTATGCGGCCGGTGCTCGCGAGACTCCCGGCACATCACGCACAGCAGCTTCCCGTCGTCCTCGCAGTAGTAGTGCAGCTTCTCCTGATGCCGCTCGCACAGCTGTGCATCCTGCTGCTCCCGGGCCACGTCACCCAGCTGCCTGGCCTTGTCCACCTTTAGCCTCTCAATGTTCTCCACCAGGCTGGCCAGCTGCCACACAGGCCGGATGTTCTCCTTCTTGAAAGGCTTCTTGCAGAGCGGGCAGACAGGGCGGCCCCCCGAGAGCGGGCGCACATCAGTGGTGCAGCTGCGGCAGAACACGTGGCCGCAGTCAATGGTCACGGGGTCCCGCAGGTAGTCGAGGCAGATGGAGCAGGTCACCTCTTCCTCCAGGCTCCGCAGTGGGGCTGATGTGGCCATCGTGCCTGAGTCAGCGGAGCCTCCGCTCACTGGAGGGGGTGCTCCTCCTTGGGGACCAGACATGGAGTCAAGGGTAGGCCCAGTGAAGGCGCAGGGGCAGCTGCGCACAGGGCTGCAGCTCCAGCACTCAACCGGCTGACCCACAGGGCAGCAGAGCAGAGGGGACCCTCCCAACCCAACCCAACACCCTCGAGCCCCAGATGAAACCCAAGGCACAGAGAGAGGGGCCCAGCAGTGAAAAGCAGGGCAGGCGGTCCTGCCTCAAGACTCCCCTCCCATCTGCTGGGAAGAGGCTCTGATGCACCCACTGTGACACAAGGGTCACTCGCTACTGGCTGGAGGACAGGTGTAACAAATGCATAACTTCACAATGCCTACTGTGTGCATGGAGCTCCCTCAGTTGTGCAGCGCACAAGCTGCAAACCCATCCACAGGGTCCTGACGATCAAGAGCCCCTTTGGTTTGCTCCTCTAGGTTTCAGCTGTGAAGGATGAAGACAGTGGTGGCAAACCTATGGCACGTGTGCCACAGCCAGCTGCATATTATCATCAAAAGCTCTAAAAGGTTTGCCATCACTGGACTAAGAGAACTGAGGTTCTCCGCCATAGTCCGGGAAGCACTGGGAGGTACCAGCAGTCTGAGTGCTATCTCCCTGCAGGAGTGGCACCCTCAGCTGTCCTGTGGTTTGGGCTCGGCTCACTTCCCCTAGGAACCTGGACCCCCACATAATAAACTCAGCTGTCAGCAGGTCACAGCCCGGCCATGCTGGATTCATGCTCAGCTGCGACCCAGCTGGGCTGGGCTGGCCTGGCTGTTCTGCTAACAAGGGAGGATTGCAAGTGCTGAGCTCTCCAGGGAAACAGCTGTGCAGGCTGTGCTGCAGAGGGGCAGCCCTTCCAGGGAGCACAGGTCAGTCCCAGAAAGGACTGTACTCCTGTTAACTTGTGCAGTCTGAGCCACTTCCGGGCTGAGTTACAAGGAGCAGCACATCTGACCCAAAAGCTGTGACAACAGCCAAGTCAACTCAGGGCTCTGAGCCTCAGTTTACCCACACATAAAATGGGGAGAATGATACCTACCTTCAAGGGTTCCTAAGGTGGTTACATGAATGAATTATGTTGAAAACTAAGCATAAGCCTGCTACACAGAAGGAAATCTAACAAAAACCCAGACTCGGTTCCTAAATCCAGCAAGTGTTCAAATCACAAAAAAGGTGAAATGGAAAGTGGCAGAGTAGGTGAGCAGAGCTGGTCATAGTGCCACAGGTGTGCCAGAGTCACAGTAAATGAGATCCTGGCTGGGACAGGAAGGGCACGTGCGCTGCTGCAGACCACAGAGGTAACAAGAGCAGTCGCCTGGAACATAGCCAGCAGGCCACACAGGTAGCTTCCCACAGGATAGGAAGAAGCAACTGGAACCACAGGCAAATCAATACCTCTACTGCTGTACACAACCAAAGTCCCTCCCAACCGGGTGCAGTGGCCTGCATCAGCAGCAATACTAATGGTATAAGACCTAAGGAAGAATATAATGTCCACTCCTTATAGTATATTAAGAGTGCTTTATCTGAGCTGGGTGTGATAATTACATCTGTAATCCTAGCACCTGGGAGGCTGAGGCAGGTGGATCCCCATGAATTCAAGTCTAGCCTGGGCTACAGAGAGAGTTCAAGGCTAGTCTGGAATATATAGTGAGACCCCGTCTCAAACAAAACAAAACAAAAGAAACCAAAAAGTGCTTTATCATGTGAAAGTACTACACATATGTAACAATTTATTATACCACTGGAATGATAATAAATTCCAAGCAGCAGCACACATGGATTTAAAGACATACGTGTATTTCAAGAAATGTAATGTGTATGGAAAAACATGTACCTACAAAGCTCAAATGAAAGGTGCAAATGAAGCTAAGATCAAGTCCCTAGAGTGTTTGTGAGGCAGGCAGAAATGACAGAAGTGGACTGGTCCATTTCCCTGGCTTTGCTTTTGAGGAAACAAGCCACAAGCCTCTCCTGAACCTTTTCAGTTGTAATATGATGCAAAGGGTTTGGAAAGAGGAAAAGGAAGTGGTACTGGGTGATCCTGTGGGCTCAGGAGCCCCTTTTCATACTACTTTGCTGAATGGCCTAGAAGTTTTAAAGCTGAGTTGCTTTACTGTTGGGGAACAGAAAGTTTTTTCTTTGGTGGGAATTAATTTTGCAATTTGCTGGAAGAATAAAAGGACTATGAAGAGCTTAGCTACAGTTCCCTTCCACATAAGATACACCACCTTTGAGCTGACCGTGACTTAGGCCCAGGCTCAAAAACAAAATAAAGAACAGAAGAAAAAAAAAGTCACCATTTTGCAAGTGACACAAGGATCACGCATTAAGTAAAAGGTTCAGGTGGATAGGATGTCCCTCTGGTGCCAAAGTACCACCCAGTGGGTTACTTCCCAATGCACCCTGACGAGGGGAAACCTACTTGGGCACTCTAACCAAGGGACCAAACCCGGCGTCTCTGCCTCATTCACAGAGCACAAACTGGCTATGCTTTCTGACGAGGGTCCGTATGAATTACAGCTTCACCAATGAAGTTTTCTTGCCAAAAATGTTTGACTTGAAGAAGATAATCAAACATTTAGATCTAACTTCCAGTTTACAGAAATATAAAATATGAGGGTTATCATCTTAAAGGAACGCTGTAGTTTGTTACCATAGAGAAACTGCTGATAGAAGAGTCAAATCACACAAGGAGGAAACAATAGGTAAATCCAGAATGAGGGAAATTCTACACAAAAACTGTCCTGGTTTTTTAAAAACTCAATGTCATAAAATTAAAATAAATACAAAAGATAAATTATGGCTGGATCCTGGCTTTAAAAAAAAAGCTATGAAAATTGTTTGGTGCCTATTAGGAGAAATTTTAAAAGAGTGGGTATTAGGTCACATTAAGAAATTATTTTCCTGGGACGGGGATTCAGCTCAGTGGCACCGCACCTGCCTCGCAAGCGCAAGTTCCTGAGTTTGATCCCCAGTACCAAAAAAAAAAGAAAGAAAAACAAATTGTTTTCCTAATAGTACTTAATGAGGTTATATATGAGAGAATGTCTGTATCTTTTTGGCAATGGATGATGCAGTATTTGGAGCTTTATGGCTACAATTTAATTTGAAACAGTTCAATAAAACAAAACTGTTTCCTGGGGAAAGGGACCACAGTTTTCTACCACATTTCTCAACAGGGTCTGCAACACTGAAAATGTTGCAATCCCTGCCACAAAAATCAAGTTCACAGGCTTAAACCCTTGTAGAAATCAATATGCACGAGAACAAAAGAAGAGATTCGGGGAACTGAAGACCGTATTACTTGCATAGAAGCATTTGACTCTGCTCTAAGGAGACAACAAAGCATAGCCCACTTCCATGCCCAAGCCAGCATCTGGTTAAACAGACTCCATCCGGGTTGCGGCACAGCCCGTTAAATGGAAGACAGCAAACCATGGCACTGCTGAATACACACAAACAAGACCCAAGGCACCGATCCACAGCAAGGACAATCGAGGTTCAAGTTCAGGCTCAGAACCCAATAGCCAGGTGACCAGCAACTTGGCAAGGGCATCTGCCACCCACACATCTCGCGCTACTCCCTGCTTACGATGCACATCTGAGGAAATGGGAGGCTCAGCAGGGCCAAGAAAGTTGCCCAGCAGCACAGGGTCTGAATGAAGTGCTGGTGCCACAGCCTCAGCTCGGCCTGGTCCACCCTTCTCCCTCCCTGAGCAACAGACAGCGAGGCCGAATGGCCTACCACCAGTGCCTCTGTCAGGACGCGAGCTCAGCTCCATGAGGTCATCTCCAGGGAAGGCTTTGGGAGAGTCGGTGCTGACACAGGCAGAGGGGTGTGCGCTCTGCTGACACTGACTGGACACACTCTAACCCAAAGCATTCCTGTGGGGCAGCAGCTCTTCCTCACTAGAAAGGAAACAGGAGAAACTCGACTGAGTATGCGACGTGAGCAAACCAGAAGAGCGGCTCGCTTTGCCATACCCACTTCTGTCAGATCCAATGCAAAACCGACCCTCTCCTAAAGCTCTCCCCTACCTACACGTCCCTCACCCCGATGGGTTTGTCTTTTTTTACCACTTATGGATTTGATGCAGTCTCTGATTTTCTGCACAGGTTTCCACAATAAGGGGTAAAACCATCACTCCCACCTTCACTCCTTCTGGCTCTGGGGCAGACAGAAACCTAGGTACAGCATCAGTGCCAGAAAAGTCCCGGGAGATGAAGTAGTCCACCCTCCCCCATCCCACCCCATCCCTTTTGCTCCAAGGAGAGTTCTGAACCCTGAGGAGAAACCGTTCATCCTGAATTAGTGCCTCGAACCTGAGGCCACACATCCCTGATCTGGGTGTGCAATTCTTCTGCCACTTAAGCCAACCAGGAGCTGGAGCTAGCTGCAATTCTGCGGAAGCAGGAAGATGCCCCGAGGATGAGGTCACAGTGACCTCACGGGCAGAGCCGGGGCACTCCCTACTTTCCGCTAAGTTCCACTTTCCCTGCAGTCCGCCCCTCCCCTCAAGTCAAGGGATCTCCTGAGGACCTACTCCATATTTGCCAGCAGACTGGCATGAGGTGACACTGTGCATTTCACTCCACGTGTAGATGCGGGCCACAGTTCTTGACTATGAGAATCACTGAGCTGCAAAACGCCTAGTGAGCATCCACACCTTGTGAGCAGGCATTGCACTCCGCACCTCCACCTTCCCTGGCTCAGTTCCGGGGGGGAAAGGGTTAGAGCTCTGGCCTTTTGCTTCTCAACAGCAGCCAACTTCTGACCCTGAGGGGCTACACTCCCACCATGTTCTTTTTGTTTGTTTGGTTGGTCTTCTGAGACGGGATCTCACTATATAGCTCAGGCCAGCCTTGAACTCACTATGTAGCCTGGGCTGACCTCAAACTTGCACCAATCCTCCTGCCTCAACCTCCTGAGAGCTGGGATTACAGGTGTGCACCTCCATGTTCTACGGCTTTTTCTGCCCCATGCCTAGCACTTTCTGCCGCCTCCTCCTCCTCCTCCTCCCTCCTCCTCCTCAGGCTCTTACAAGCCAGGAGAGGTACCCCGGAGACAACGAGTCCCAGGTGTTGACTCTGAGGCTGAGAGAATCGAGCGAAAGGGTCTGGGTTTGCACCCGGGCTTTTCAGCTACCAGTTTAAGGCTCCTAGGGTTATCTGAGGCTGCTTCTCAAGCATGCACCTGGGCCTCCAAACAAGAGCCCCTTTTCAGCCGAGCATGGTGATACAGGCTTCTAAACCCAGTATTTGTGAGGCTGAGGCAGGAGTTTGAGGCCAGCCTGCGCTACACAGGGAGACCCTGTCTCAAGAAACCAAAACACAAAAAAAGCCTCTTTTTCCTCTAATTCCAGATCATTTAGCTTAGGGCCATAAGCCCTTAGGAACCCTGTTTAAGGGCTCCAGGGCCCCAGATTAATAAGGCCCATTTCCTAACCTGAAATAAGTAAATTCTCCTACAAGGAAAACATTCAAGTGACACCACTAACCCCAAACCTGGAGAGGTCAGGAGTCAAGGCAAAAAGCAAGTGATGTAGATGTATAAATTAAAGGAATGGCTGTCCCTCCGCCCACCGTCAGGCCAAAGCCTGAGGCGATCCCAGTGACTGGACAGACAGTCCTTTCTGTGGGCACCTGGGGGCTTTCCTGTCTCCCATGGACCAAGCAACAATGCTCCTCTGAAGGTAAGACAGGCCATGTGCACCCCAGGGGTGGCTCTGGACATGCTCCAAGCAGTAGACATTCCCACAGGCTCAGAGGCTGGCACCAGCTGGGAGGCACATGAGACAAGGCTTTAAAGGGTCTTCCCCTGCAGGTGACCTGCCAGGCTCCCCTGCCTTGGGAAGAAACTGGGAGTTCTTTGTGTTTCTGCCTCGATAATGTCTAATGTTGAGTCACAAACCAACCTCTCTCTTGCCAGAAATAGGAAATACTCCCAAGAGTCATGTGGTGCTCTGCACCTGAGAATACAGGGAAGAGTCCTTCCGAGTCTAGCAGATGGTTTGCAGCCCAGATGACATGGAAGAATCACCCAGACCAACGGCATCAGAATCTTCACAGGTGGCCCAGGCTTCAGTATTTAACAACAGACCCCAAAGCCTCCCCAGGTGATTCTAATGTCAGGTCAGGGCTGGGAATCCCTAAATGAGCCCCCTTACTGCCAGGCTGGGGCCCAGGCAGGGTGCTCTGGCAGAGCTGTGGGAGGTGTCTCTCCTAGTCCAGGGCTCCTTCCACTGCTCTGCATGGCACTTTGGTGCCTAGAAAGTGAATCCTCGCTGAGTGCGATGGAGAGGAAGGCTCTCAAGCAGAGGGATCCAACTGCCAGCAAGGAACGGGTCAATGAGTTGAGAACTGACAACCGGCCACTGGGTGGGTGCAGCAGGCGAGAGGGATGGAGCAGACTATTTCGAGTCAGGCAGAGGGGAGTGGAGAAACACAGTGTGCAAGACTGTGGGCTACATTAAGAATTCCCCTTCACCCCAACAGCTGTAGGAAGCCGTGAGGGTAAGCAAGAGGAGCCACAATTCACTCAGCAGTCGGTACGCACAGCATGTGCTGGATGCCCAGCACGTTCCAGGTACTGAGGTTGTAAGGGGGAACAAAACTGGCAATGCCCCAGCCCTCCCGAAGCTCACAGCTAGCATCCTACTTGGAAAGTTCTTCAGAGGCTGCAGTCAGACCCAACAGCAAGCAAGGACCATGGAGCCTCAGGGTTTCTCCACTTACCTAACCCTGCTCACCTCTGCTCAGTGCTCCGGCCCCTCAGCCTCCCTCTGATTCTCTAACACACCCCACCAATACGTGCCTTTACCCCGTCTGGCTCTCCAGTTCCCCAGTTCCCTGGCTGGAGCCAACACCCTCCCTGCCTTTCCTCTGGGAGACCGAGGACCTAGGTCCGGACCTAGGTCCAGACCAGGGGCCCCAGCTCATTTCCTGCCACCCCACCTCCCACTCAACTTCGACCCACAGCCAAACTAAACCTCTCCCCAAGCCTTGGGGTGCTGGGGACACTGTGCTCTAAGCCTTGTGAAAATGCCACCCTCCCCAAGACACCAACCCTTCCCGCTTAGCAGAGGCCTTTTCAGCCGCAACCAAAAACAGCATTTTAAACGCAATATAGGTGCTCCCCAGAAGATCTGCAAGGTGCTAAATGACGCAGGAAAAAGACATTCTTTAGTTTTGGGGTTTTTTTGGTACCAGGGATCAAACTCAGGACCTTGCGCTTGAGAGGCAGGTGGCAGAAAAACTGAGCTAAATCCCCTGTCCTTTAGATAGTTTTATCTGGACATCCACTGCTGAGACTTTTCCCATATCCTCCAACTCTTCTAAAAACCCCACCTCTTACCCTGACTTTGTAGTTGTCTCTTGGCACCTTAGCCCCTGCCACTCATACCCTGACCTAAATAATCTCTTATGCTTTCTACGTTGTTTATTGGTAAATCTGCCATCTTCCATGGCATTTGTGAGCTGATTTTGTTCATTTTCTTTGGCGCTCTATGACTATGATGTCCTAGCACATGGGCACACAGACATATTCTTAGGTCCACTACAACAGGCCAAGATGTTTAGAAGGACTGTAGTAAGACACCCACCAGAAGGCTACACGCACTCATGCCCATGGCCCCACCAACACCTGCTACTGCTTTAAAATTCCTGCCCATAGGGCCAGGGATTTAGCTCAGTGGTTCCACCACCTGCCTGGATCCCTAGTACCAAAAAAAAAAGTTCCTGACGATCTGGTGGATAGGAAGTAGAATCTCGTGTGTGTGTGTAACACCAGAAAAAAAAACAAAAAAGAAAGGAAAAGAAATAGCATGAGAGGTCCAGCAATGAGCCAAAGAATCCTACAGCAGCAGAGGATCAACTGTAAGCATTGTAAATATTTATCCTTGGGGGAGGGGAGGGCCACCTCCTTCTACTCTTCCGGCTTTGAGTAACTTTACCCAATTCCTTTCTGGAGATCACAAGCTTAGGGTGGGGTTTTCGCTCCGTTCTGGGAGAAGCTCAAGAGCCAGTTAACTCACAGATTCCAACCCCCCCATCTTGCTTCAGGCAACAACAGGACTCCACTGTAGCCAATCTCTGGAAGACTTGGTTGAGGGGAACCCTTAAGGTCTCCCAGTAACCTGCAAGAGGTGAGGAAGTTACAGAGCAATCCCGCTACTCAGAGGTTTAGTCTCTCTGAGAATGAGCAACCCAGAGAGATGCATAGAAAGAAACCAGACCCTGCTGCATATTTTCAAATCCTGCGTCAGACTGTGCCTAAAGCTAGCCCTATCCTTAAACTGTCCAGTCCAAAGAGCCAATAAATGTTCTTTCTGCCCACCTGGGTTAGTGAGCTGGAGATAGTTTAATCCTTCATACCCTCGGAGAAGAAGGCATCTAAGCCAGTAGCTAGTTACTATTCTTCATCGCATTTGAGACACTCATCCCACCATATCTTTGCACCTCTGAAATGTGGTTGACAGCACAGCATAATTCAACTGGCAAAATATTTCTTTCCAGTGAAGGACACGTAAAATAAGTGATGGTGTCTGGGATTTGGTGAGAATGCTGACAGGGTTATCGCTCCAACACAAAGCCATCACCTCGTTATTCCTCCGCATCTAAACTCCCAAGTGAGGCCAAAACTGCCCAGCAAGGCACTAAGGCTCTGCATAGCCTGGCTCAAACCTACCCATGCAGCCCCAGATCCTGCCACATCTTGCCTAGTGCTCCAGCCGCTACTTTATAAGCAAGGCAACCCCTCCTTACCTCCCCTGCCCGTCAGGGCCAGCTCAGCTCAGAAGGCTTGCACAAGACTGTTCCCTCATCTGTGCGGCCCCTCCTGGGCCTCTCCCCAGTTAGCTTCAGAAGCCCTGCATACGCTGCAGTTCTACACCAGCACCGACACACAACCTTGTCACTGGGATTTTCACCTGTCTTAATACTTTTACCCATCTTTTCACTCAACAAGAGTGAGAACTGAGGTCATGCCTTCCTGATCTTTTTATCTCCAGTATCTGGCCTAAAGTAGGGGGGTCTGTAAATGTTTATGAAATTAATGTCACCCCGATTCCCGACCCCTCACCATAGTTTCCTTTCCCACTCTATAAATTTATTTCAACAATAGACTCAGAGGATTCTCCTTAGACACTACTGGTCACAAACATCACCCAGCCCTCCCCCAGCCTACACACACTTCAGGGAGAACAGGAGGCCAACATTCCACTTCTACTAAGGTGGCAAGGTCTAAATCAGCCTGAATGCCAGCCAAAATTAAGCCTTTAACAAATCCATTATCTTCCTATTTTCCATGTATTTTCTCTTCTGATCCTGGGGTGGGGCCTAAGACCAAAGTCCCCTTAAGAAACCTCAATTCCGAGGCTCTATCTGAGGTCTGCAGCCTGTCGTGGTGGCCACACCCAGTCTGAGTCCAGCCTGTACTTGCCTGGAGTGCTGACAGAGAGGACTCTGTATGCCCGCTGCGAACTGCATGCCATGAGTTCGCCACCACTGGCCCAGGGTAAGTCTTTAGGTCCTTGGGAACAGCCCCTCAAAGGGGACTGTGGGAACCAGTCTATCCGCTCTCTCACTCCCTGGCCATGAAGTGAGAGATTTTCTTTTGCCAAGTACATCCACAGGCCTAACCTCCCAAACTGTAAGGCAAAATAAACTCCTTTTCTTTATCAGTTGATTATCTCAAGTATTTGTTACTGTGACGGAAGGCTAACTCACCAGTACTCCTCCAAACTGTCAAGGTCATCAAAACAAAGTGTGAGAAAACGGCACAGCCAAGGGAAGCATAAGGAGACAACTAAAGTAATTTGGAAGAGAAACGTGCTCAGGTAAAAAGAAAATCTGAATGTACTGTAGACTTTAGCCAATAATAGTGCACTGTATCAATACTGGTTCATTAGAGGGGGAAAGGCCGAGGTATTTGGGAACTCTGAACTATCTCAATTTTCCTTTAATTCTAAAATTTCTAAAACACAGCATCTATTAAGCGATAAACTGCAATTCTGGAACCGCTGAAAAAGCCCTAGCTTTGGAAACGGTGATTTTTTGTTTGTTTGTTTAAGTCAGGGGAAAACGCCAGGGTTTTTTGACTTCAGAACACAGCTCTAAGCGGAGGCTCGCGCAGGCATCAACGACCGTCACTCCCCTCTGCGGCAGCACGCAAAGGCTGAGGTGTCAAACTCGACTCTCCTGGGAACTGAGGCGCTTTCCTACCACTTACTCCGCAATGTTAGATTTATGCACTTTTTTCTAAGGCCAAATAGGTGGCTGAACCAGTTTACTGTGACCAGAGATGGGAAGGGGAGGTGACGACCCCAGAGGGTGAGCCGGGCTGGCCGCTTCGCCGCCGCTCCGGGCCACGGGCGTCATCCGGGCTCCGAACCCCTGGGCTCGTCCCGGGCCGGACACGCGAAGCAAGCGCTACGCACGAGGCGGACGCAGGCCGAGCGGGGCGCGGCCTGGCCCGGTTCTGCCCCGGGCCGCACTCGGTCGCCCCAACCGCGGGCGCGCAGGAGTCCGCGGCTTTCCGCGCTTCTCTCGACGCCCCCACTCACCGTCCGAGCCCCGGCCCCGGATGGGCCAGGCCGCTCCTCCGGCCCCGCGCCTCGCCCGGAACCAGCGCGGCCGCGCGTCCCCGCCCCGCAATCTCCGGGCTCTTCGGTGTACTCGGACGAGATTTCTCGCGGACCAGCACCAGGATTGGCCCGTGCCGAACTCCACCGTCCAATGAAAACTTTGGTTTCGTTCACGTCACTGATCTCTAGGCAAATCCCCGGGCAGCTGCGGGGGATGGGGCAGCAGGAAACCGAAACCGAAGGAGGAGAGGCCGACCGGAGCCGGGCGGAGTTTGGGGCGTGTGGTGCCTCGTCGCGGGCTGTAAAGGAGCGAACTTCGGCAGCCTACTAAGGCCCCGGTGTGGGACTTGAGTGCAGGAAACCCCTGAGCCTTCCCAGACCCCCGCTTCCCGATTCCCTCGCCGGGATGGGGCGGGAGAGCACTCGCCAGGTGCTCCACGTTGGCTACGACTCCCTGCCCTCAGCCTCCCTGCTCTCAGCGTGGCCTAAATTCGCTTCCAGCCCTGGAGAGAATCTTAGCAAATAAACTAGGGGCCTGTTTACAAAATTTACCATTGCCAAAGCGACTGCAATGCACGAGGCGCTTTGGGTGAAATAGAAGAGGCGGCATTGTCCCCGTTTGACGGAAGAGGAAACTGAGGCTCGGGCGCGCGACCAGAACCAGGCCTTTCCTGTTGCTGATCTCAGCCCCTGCACCGGGTGGTCAGTGGCTCAGGTTTCCGCGGCCCCCAGTTGCCAGCTCCCAAGGGTCCTAGGCTGGGTGGAGTTGGGGTGCTGGGGTGGGGTGTTCAGTCCGGGTGAGCTCAGGGTCCTCAGCCTTCAAAGCCAGCCTCCGCCCGACCCTGCCGGGGTGGAGCGTTAGGAATAGATATCAAGTTCGGTGTGTGGGCGGAACGGATGGGCACCACTGTGGGGCCTGAGCTCCGGCTCAGCAGGCGCCTGAAGCTGCAGGCACTTGCCTCACTTGCAGGCCGTTCTATGCTCCTGCAGCCCCAGCGGCCCGGCCCTTTCGCTCACACGCTCCTCCGCCCCCTTTGGAAGTCCGTTACCCTCCAGCGTTTCAGACCCAGTTTAACCTGAGGAAAATCTAGAGTCTGCGCTCTAGACAAGCGATGGCACATAACCAGTGCGGGAAGCAGCCCCAAGGTACGGCGCCTTGGACCCTGAGGAAGCACCAGAAGCAGCAAGCCTTTCTGACCTTCTCTTGTTCCTTCTACCCTGAAGCAGGTCATAGAAACTGGGCCATAAAACCTAGGAAGGTCACTCTGACCTTCTCCCCTGAAGACTCTTACGGGACAGATGTCCTTCCATATCCAAAAGGAAAGGATCTCACAAACAGTGCCAAGAATTAAATCAATAGGCCTTGCTAAGTTCCTCCTAGTATATTACCATTTTTATATTACTTTTTGTCTTCTGATCATAGTTTTGCATGACAGCCCATCAAAACACGAATCTTCTGTTTCTTAAGGACTTCATTTCTGAAGGCTTTCTTGTCATAAAACTTGGGTTAAATACATTTTTGTGATTTTCTCATGCTATTATGTCTTTTGTTAAAGTAGTCTCAGCCATGAACTTTGTAATAGGTAAGAAAAGATAACTCTCTGCTACACATAGTATACACTTACTGAGTTAAAATATTGTATTTAGAAGCTCAAGGTTTTAAAGCTGGAGTGCTTGAAAGAGGCCATAATCAAAAATAACTTAAAACTGCAACGTTCCTATTGGCAAAGATGCAAAGAACCTGTTTAAATTTTGGGGGGGAAGGCTATCCTGGTTTAGGACCAGAATAAGTGAATGAGTATCTCTAAAGGAAAAGCTAAAAGTTACATGAACTAAATTGAATTTTAACATATTTCTGTTTTATAACAGACAAACTAGTATCTGTGCTACCAGGAACTGACTATCTTTGTGCTAAGATCAGGCTTCAGGCTAAAATATAACAGGTTTAAACAGCATTTTTAAAAGGAAAAATGTTATTTTGAATGCTAATAACATTAACTGTTAGATTTTTGAGCAGAAAGACATCAAGAGATGCCAGGCGTGGTGGCGCATGCCTGTAATCCCAGTCCTGGGAGGCTGAGGCAGGAGGCCGCTGCAAGTTTGAGCCCAGCCTGGGCTACATAGTGAGTTCAAGGCCAGCCTGGACTGCAAAAAAAAAAAATACTACAAACATACCTGAACTGAAAAAAAAAAAAAGAAAGAAAAGAAATTAAGAGATAGCAAATCTCTTGAATTGTCTTAAAATATTTTTTTTCAAATCTGATGGCTTTGGTAGAAACTGTCTCTTAGTTAAAAAGTTAGTGGAAATAGATTGTATAATAATGACAAATCCAACCTTTAACTTTAAAAATTCTAAGAGTTTTAAGATTTATATCATGATGGTACAATTAATTATCCCAGAATGTGAAATGAGGTACTATCATGACATATTTTTAAATTATAAAATTTCAAACCTCCACAAAAAGTAGAGAAAAAAATCATGAATCACTTCAACAATTATCAATATTTTTCTATTTGATTTTGCTATGTTGCTATTCCCTTCTTACATTTAAAAAAAATGAGTATTTTAAAGCAAACCCTAGACATATTTAGCTTCACATGTGAATACTTCTGTAGACTTTTCTGATAGAGGTTTTGCTTACATAAAAAATACCATTATTGGGCCGGGGATTTAGCTCAGCGGTTCTGCTGCCTGCCTCGCAAGCACAAGGTCCTGAGTTCAATCCCTGATACCAAAAAAACCCCCCACAAAAATACCATTATTGTTACCAGGTTCTGGGGTCTCCTTCTAGAGGTGCTTTCTAAGGTTCTCTCTGTCCTGAACAAAGAATCGGTTGAGTCTTGACATACATTAAAGTACTAAAGATAGGAAAACAAACGTACTCTGTAGAGTGAATGTGGGCCAATTAAAACTAGGAAAATAACGCCCTGAAAAGTGAGAGGTGAGCCACTGAAAGAGGTAACAGTGGAAAAGGCTGGAAAAGGCAATGGAACAGATTCTCCCTAAGAACCTCCAGAAGGAGAGCACAGCCCTGTTGACCCCTTGATTTTACCTCAATGAGACGAAGGTTAGAATCAACACAAGGTTTTGGGGGGGACACTAATATTCTGACCACAGCAGGGGTTATCTTCCAGTAGGTGTTGTGAGACTTTGATGGGGTAGGACACTACCCCATTTTATGCAGCCAGCCTCTTCTGAGTTATGGGACATATATTAAGATCAATTACTTCCATGGACCTACTGCCACATTTCCTTTGCTGCAAAACATGTCCATTGTAAAATGTAATTGTGTATGGAACATCATAGTGATAGATAAGGCATTCTGTGAGTGTACAAAGCTACAGTTTATGGAAGTGAATGAGTCATGGGAGGCAAATCTATACCAGAGTAGGTATCTGTGGCAGAAAAGATTAGCTCAGCAGTCTTGTGTTGCTCAGACTCAGTTCTATACCACCTTGACCAGCTCCTGGCAATTGAGATCATGAGATGTTTTGGCTGATATGAGTATTTTTATATGTTGGGGTATGTGGCCTAAAATTATCTGTATAATATTATAAAATTATTATAAGCTTAATATTGTATGCTATTTTAACATGTCAGATTGGAAAGGCCTCAAATGGCCTGACTGCAAGTTCTCCCTACCCTCGTCCTGTGTAGGGAACGGGAAAGGGGATATTACCAGAACCCCTGGAATGAGTCCTGGTCTCCTGTGAGCCACTACAACACAAAGTGAATTAAAGAATAAAGAGGAAACAAGACTTAGTGAAAAAGCTAGATTTTGGGCCTACTTGGTGCTACTCTAGGCAGTAAGGGCACCCAGAGCTTGCCACTATTTACTGGGTTCTCAGGGATTATCAGATGACTCAGAGGGCAGCAGTAGTCCTAAATTGATAAGGGTCTTATAATCAGAGGAAGTATCCGAGGATGACTCAGAAGGTGGTGGTAATCCTACGACAATGAGGATTTTATGTTGATGAGGAGCTTAGGTTGATGAGGACGGTGAGATGAGCAAAACCAACAGTAGGTGGGATGAGTTAGACTGATGAGGAATCTGTCCCTCAGGTGAAACCTTTCTTCTTCCTTCTCAAAGGCCCAGGATGTCTTCAGCTGATTTAATCTTGCCCTTGAACATCACAGCATCACAGGACTATCAGGACTATCGAGGCCTCAGATAGCCCTAATCACAATTTAATTGTGAAATGCTTTTTCCCCCAAAATTATGTAGAATGGCTCCTGACAATCCTGAAAATAAATGCCCCAGGCAAATAACCTTCTGTGTCAAAAGGGGCTGACACAATTCCTATTTATCCCTGAGTTGGTGGATTTCAGTTCCCAGCCAGCCTGAAGACTTATTTAAGTAAACAAATCACATCCTTCTTCAGAACCATGGGGGCCTTCATCATCTTGATATTACAAGATCTGCCTCCTGAAGCTGATGGCTGTCTACTGTTCCCAAACACAACGCCTGCAATCCCTGGATGGTATGCTGTGTCCCTTTTCTCAGGACTATGAGTATATGTGACTAATAAACTGCTCATGAATTCATATCTTCCACTCTGAGCATTGTATATTTGGCTACTCCTATAACCGTAGGGAGGGAATCTCTCACTTACCAACAGGTCAGCTAGAAAGTTATTAAAACATATATCTGGGTTTAGAGCTGCACTGTACCAGTTTGTCTAGACAGTTCATACTAACAACACATGTATTTTATAGTGAACACCTGTTTTCCCCCTGGAGGTGCACTGTATGCCTGTATGACTGACCTCCAATAAAAATACTGGACTCCTAGGCTCAGATGAGTTTTCTTAATTGGTAACACTTCACACATATTGTCACACATCATTGCCACAGGAGTTAAATTCCATGTGACTCTACTGGGAGAGGACTTTTCAAAACCTGCACATCCAGTTTCCTCCGGACTTAACCTAATATGCCTATTTCCTTTGCTGATTTTACTTGCATCATTTTGCTCATTATTAATATAATGTATGTCATGTAATAAAACATTATTGTGAGTGTAAATCTTGGTTTTTGTGAATCCTTCTAGTGAATCACCAAGGCTAAGAGTGTCTTCTGGACTTCTGTCACAGCACCTGTTCCTGGGAAGTACAGGTGACATTCTTCCATGAAGGAAAGAGCCTAATAGCATCAACACATTACCTGGCAATTAGGGGTCCCTCAGGCATGATTCTGTATTGGGAGTAGAGTTGACTTAGAGACTGAGAGCTCATCAGTTGGAAGTTTGGGAGTGTAGAAGTCCACTTTTTAGCTATGCATAACCTCTATCTTTGCCACCATGGCCATTTTGTACATGAGGCCATTGACCCAGCTTCAGGGTGGTTGACATCTTTAGGAAGATCACTGCAATTCATGCTGAGAAGTTCTTCCAGACTTTTCCCATCAAAGTTAAGCACTTCTTCCTCCCAGTGCTGAGTCTTAGTGACCAAGAGTTCATGCCCTCCCTCCAAAAGTTGCCCTCTGCTAAAGACAGCTGCCCTGTTCACAGTTGTGGCCCCTTCCCAAGAGCAGTCTGCCTGCCGTAATTAGACAGCATGGGATTATAAAGGTCTCGTTTTCTTGCTCTGGTGTGGGATGACTCAGTAGCATCATCTCACCTCTGTAGCTCCTCAAAATAGTTGAGGTTTTCATTTTGAGTGTGTCATTGCTCACCTTCTCCCTATGGCCAATCCTTTGTTTACTTCTTCAAGATTTAGATCCTCCCAAACAATTTCATTCACATTAATATCTGTCTCAGAGATTGCTACTCAGTAAACCCAATCTGGGACAGAGGCTACCAGAAAGTGCCCCTAAAAAGGGATTTGGGAGCTATATTAATTAATTTGCTGACTGTCCTCATTCCTGGTAATAGGAAGAACACCAACAACTCCTGCATAGGTAGGAATGTAATTGTTAAATTTTCCAGCACTGGTACTGAAATAAAGTGACAGTGGGAGGAAATGCACCAGTGGTTACAATGTATGCTTCATTTGAAAATACCAAGAAAAATATAAATTATTTTTTAAAATGGAATTGTATAGTTGTATTTGGAACACTCACTGCATTAAGGAAAGATGAAGAAAGGCTGAAGGTAATAAATCAGTGGTTAAAGACTAAGCATGAAAGACAGAGAACCTCCTCAGCAACATATAAAGAGACCCTTATATCTGCAGCAAGAAGGTAGAAAAAGCTGAGGGGACCCAGCTCAGGACTTAATTATAATATAAGCAGAGCTCTAGAGAAGGTTGAATTTTCAGCGTTACCAGATCTGTTTTGCCAAGGTCAGGGCTTTTGGGGAAAAAAAAAAGGAATCCTGAAGAATGGATGGAAAATGTGTGTCAATGTCCCCCTTTTTTTTTGGTACCGAGAGATCGAACCCAGGACCTTTCGCTTGTGAGGCAGGAGGCAGAACTGCTGAGCTAAATCCCCGGCCCCTAAATATCCTAACCATCCAGATTCTTCTAAACTCTCTAGGCCTACAGAAGTAACCTATTCCTCTCTGTTATGGAAGTTCTGCCTATAGCTTCCT